GTTTCTACAGACGAACATCCGGTTTTCAAAATAATATGCCAACATATTGCATAATGGCAATAAGAATAAATAAATTATATTCCAATAAATATAAAAAATTATACCTTCATCTCGTGAGTTAAAGGGAAAATACACCTAAATTGTGCGTAAAGTGTCTCTATTCTTTGATTTGAGGGTTGCTGGAAATTAATAATCAATTAAGATATTTTACCAACCAAAAACTCTGAACTGAATTTGTATTTTCAAATGGCAAAGTTTATTTATTGAATGCTGAGTTTAAGTCCACAAACTGGATCCCTGCTCTTGCAGACTGTGGGGGACTCAGCAGAATCCTCGATATCCTTCATCTGGGCCAAAGCAAATCACTCACTCGCTCTCTCTGTGGATGTTCTCTTTGTGAGGAACAGGTATTGCATGGAGCTGTGCTCCACTTAGTGAGTGACCTGACAGGTATTGCCAGCTACAAGAGGCTTAAACTGAACCGTCTCTGGGTTCACCTTAGGTCCCAGAACACTCTCCAACCTGGCAAGTAGAGGATCAGAAACTGTTTCAAAGCCTCCAGCATCTCTTTGTGTTCTTTTCAGCATCATGCAAGAAGCTCTAAACCGATCATATGGGAATGCTGATGTATGTCAAATATTTTGAATACAAATTGATGAAGCACTCTCATGTTTCAGAAAGCTCCAACAACAACTCCATCTGCACACCAAGTGACCCAACGTTGGGTCAACCCCAAGCTTGAGAAACTCTAAATCAGTGTCAGTGCAATGTGTCTAAACTGTAACCTGGTCTCCTGATCAAGTCCTTTGTTCTCTGTTCTGACAGAGACATTTCTTGATCCATGTCTTTATCTCCACCACTGTGTGCCTCTCTTTCTCTGTCACAATCAAACTTCTAGTAGACCAAGTAGGCGGCGTGGAGCTTGATATCGCCACACTGCTGCTGTGGTTACACAACAGTCTTTTTGTCAATGCAATTTCATGTCACTGGAGGATAGGACAGCTGAATTTACCGTCCCAGACCGGTTTGAAGCAGAAAGGAAGCAGGCAGGACAGTTTCTGTCATATATTTGGTTTTATTTTGACCTTGACTTTTATAAGAAGCCTGTGTGTTTTCCTACTCAAGTTCTATACTCATGTTTAGAGACTGAATATCAAAACACCAAGAGGAGGTTCATTTTTCAGGATATCCCCAAATACATGCACCACCTCCAAATAGTAGTTTTGAAAGAGCATGGAGCTGTAAACCATGTCTGATTCAACAGACTTTATTGCTGTCATTATGGTCACGTTATGTAGTTGTTTCCTTCTTCATTTTTCTCTTTTTTGTCAGCCATTGATGTTAGGTCATTGATGAAAGGCAATAGGGAAGCTGAATGAATTGTCTGGCCGTTGATAATTAATCCGGTAGTACTTGTCAAAGCCAGCTTTAAAATGGAGAGGTGAGTATGTATGAATATATATTTTCTGATCTAGTGCCTTCATGAACAGTCGACAGGAGAAGAAGGTGTTTTCTTGCTCTTTGGTATTGCCGAGCAAATTGAAGGCCTTGGTGTAGAGTTAGATTTTGGAGTGTTGGAGGTGAGTTTTTGTAAATTTTCCATCTCCAGATGTTGAATCACTGGCGAGACCAGACGGATCTTTGAAAGCCATATTTGAGTGTTGTTGTTTTCTTTGTTCAATAGCTTCCTGTTCCTTACTACCACCATGATCATCGTCAACGTAGAAGATGTTGTTCAGCTCGCTCCCTGACCTTCATCACTTTTACTTGCTCTTTCATCTTATGATGTGTGATTGATGGCGTAGTTTAAATGATTAGGGAATAGTACGTATACTAAAGTAGTCGTGCTATTGTAATGTGTCTCTTCCTGATTTTAAAGGCTCCATCACAATAAAGTCATGTCGCTTTCTGAACAGACTGTTCTAGCTCAGGGGGCGGGAAGCTGGTCAATTACTGGCAGCTCTCATCACCGTGTGTGTGTGTGTGTGTGTGTGTGTGTGTGTGTGTGTGTGTGTGCGTGTGACGCCTAAGGTTTTTGTTTTCCAGAATAATGTAGAGGCGTCAACGAGGCCTCATTCTCTGATAGATTTGAGCAACCTATGACCAACATGTGTTTGTATTCCTGTTTTCACCTTCACTGACGTAGTGGAGATGTAGCTTCATGATTTCTAAACATCATTCCAACACACAGATGTGTTTGGGTGGTTACTGTCACGGGGTCTTCTGGGTAAATATCTATAGTTGTCTGATGATTTGCCGCAGCTTGTTTCATGAAGTCTTCATTTTCTAAAATACTTCTGATTGTTTCCTTTATTTCATGTGAGTCAGTCAACTTTTATTCCCTCTTCTCTGCATTATGAGGATGTTTAACTATTTTAGTTTTTATTGAGGGGAATCAAGGGAAATGGAATCTACAGCAAGAGATCCGATGATCAGCAAAATTGTCCAAAGGTGCTACTAGTTGGCCATCAGCTGTGATGTTTGTGTTTCACAATCCATCTCTGTATTTTACGTCTGTATTGTATGGCGACAGCTGTGGACGAAGGCATTGTGTTTTCAGGTCATCCGTCTGTCCGGTTCAATTCTTTAGTGAATTTTCCACTCCTGATAGTGTTAGTGGTGTTGTTTATTAACTGCAGAGGGAAACATCTGACTCTTTTAGTTGCTAAATAAAGCTTTAGATCTGAGATCTGTGTGTATTAACACCGTCCACTGTCTGTCCTATGCTTTGGTTAGTGTGGTGAATGGTTTCTTAGAAGACTGCACATATTGTCTCCCTGCTTCCCTTAACAAGAAGCCTCCATTAAAAGCCTATAGAGTCTGTTTTACCCCGGGCTGTTTCAGTCACAGCTGCTAGAATGCTTCAACTGAGCTGCTTGTCTGTAGGTGGAACAGCTTTGGAGTCCCTCTCCCTGATCAGGACTTAGCAGAATACCGCGATCCGTGTTCATGCCTTTTATACAGAAGGGCAAGGTGAAATATCAGCACAACCGTCCCACCCTGAACAGGCTGTCAACGGGTTTTCAGAGACACAACCCACAACTCCATTGAAGCCATTTTAGTGGAGAAAGTATCTCGTGTTTTTCTTAGTCTGATCGGCTCTTCGGGTCGGCCTCTATAGAGACAACCGATCAAACTATCGACAGTGATTATCGGACGATGACTGTTTTTTTTTTAACTCTCCGAAACCGACAATCCAATGTTCACATCTGCTTCATGTTCAGAAGGTGTGTGGACATGAGAAAATATGCAGGGTTTGAACTTCTCTCTAGCTCTCTGTTTTCATTCTTTATATAACTATCTCTGTCACGTGTGCAAATGAGTGCAACACTTTGAAAACCTTCCTGAAGAAACACTCTGAAATTGTGCCCCTTTATCTCCTTATTAAACAGATCATAGCGTCCCCTCCCCCTCTCTTTTCACTAGAATTCCGAATTGCTGAACACACTTTTGTGTTGCTGAGATAAAACAGATGTACTAGTTTATTTCTAGCATAAGTCAGCATTCAGTCTCAATAGCAGACGAGACACATCTTCCCATCGTCCCTGTACATCAGAACTTGAGTGATGAATGGAATGAAACCTCAGTGGTACTTTGATATTCAATGAGTAAAATCCTCTCCTTCAGTATAAAGTCTTTCTCATGACTGAGGTATCTATGGTTACGACAACTGAAAGTATTACATTAGGCATTATTGCTGTTGTCCTCCCTATGTGCTCCGATTATGTAGATGCAATCTTGTATAACTCTTACTCTCCAAACCAGTTTCATCCGGTTCACGAGGTGTTGCCAAGAAACCGGCACCGTGTGTGTGTGTGTGTGTGTGTGTGCGTGTGTGCGTGTGTGTGTGCATGGGTCAGGGTTTCCTTTGCTGTGTGAAAGCAGATATCTGGAATGATCCTGTTTCTGCCGCCAGTGTTGCATAAGAGCTTGGAAGGGAGAGAGCAGACAGCCCCTATTGCCTCACTTCGCACATTTATTCCTTACGTTTTTTTCTCTATCAAGAGATAATAGGAATAGTTATTGATTATTTAATATATGGCTGGTACACCAGCTGCAGCTTAGAAAGCCTGAAATGGAACATATACGATTTGTCTTGAGATTCTTCTAGTTGAAAGGCAAAAGCTTTTCTTTTGTTCATTTGTATTTATTTTACTGATATATTTGTATTGTTTCATCTGTTGGACTGTTTTACCTGTGTTTAAATTTGACCTTAGTTCATCTTGCTTTTTGTTTTGCTTTCTATTGTTATATTGTCGTGTATCCTGCTTTTGCTTTGCTTTATCTGCCCTTTGGAAACTCTGCTTTTGTATAAATCTGATTATTATTATTAATAGGTGTGGGAATAAGACTAACTCACGATACCATACTATCATGATACAGCTATGCTGCTATACCTGGATGCGTTGATAGACAATCAGCTATGATACATCACGACATGTGTGTAACTGAGGAAGAAAAAACTACCCCTAAAGCCAAAAAGCAGTAATTATATAATAACTCACTGTAGTGGTGTAACGGACCACTGTTGATCCGTGATCCGTACGGATCCCCCTCACAGTAGCACGCATGTGAACCGTGGATTATTTACACAGTTTATCTTAACCATCAGTGTGAAACAAAGTTTTACTGACATTGTTATCCACCAACATTCAGTAAAACATGTGATCAGGACATCATGTATGCTTTTCTAGTCTCTGATCATGTTACATTGTAAACAACCAATCAGTCTGAATTGACAGGAGGAGAGCTAGTAAAGATCTGTGATCTGTGATACGATCTGAACCGTGAACTTCATGAACCCTTGCACCACTAACTCACTGCAGTGGTGTGAGTTTGACAGAATTTGACAACTAAGATGAAACAATGAACAACGTGGGTAGAGTCTCAGCTCAGTGGCTATTTAACGCTCCCTCTCTCTCCCTCTCTCTCTCTCTCCCTCTCTCCCTCTCTCTCTCTCTCCCTCTCTCTCTCTCTCCCTCTCTCCCTCTCTCTCATAGGTGACCTAGTGAAGTTAGACTCTGAGGGCTCTCTGCCTCTCCCTCACACGTCTTCCTGTCTCTGGACAGTTTTGTCATGGCGTCCTCCCTGATCAGCCGTCAGTTTGCTCTCTCCCTGCAGAAAAACCTGTGGCTCAGTGCTCCAGGTAAATCCAACACTCTTCAATTTAAATCAAATTTTTTAAAATCCATGCTGTAATGTAACTGAAATGTAACTTTGCTATAATGTTGTCTTGTAGATTTACCTAGAAGTGTTAGTAGAACTGTGTGCTAAATGCTTCAGGGATTTGTTTTCCATTCTAATTCATTTTCTTGTCAGTTTTGCTCATTCAGCCATTTTAAAACTTTTTAATATCATTTAAAAAATTATTTACTCTGAAAAGGGCTGTTAAGACCACCTATGTGTCATTTTTGATGTCCCTGAATTGGTCTTAAAGTCTAAATTGAAAGTGTGTATGAGAAAGCAGATAATCAATAAATTCGACCATTTCTTCTTTTTAACTGTGCATATGCCTCCAGCCCTGCTAGATCTGCACCTCACTGTATTGCAACTGTTTTCAAACTTTATTTCTCAGTGAGCTTGGGTATTTGTCATTTTTTATAGTTTTATACTTGTATATTACCAGCAGATAATAAGTCATAATACTTCCACTGTTCTCAGGGATAACAATCAATGCAACCATGATGTAGTCAGTTTTTTCTGATCAGTGTAAATGTTTGACTGTACTGAAATCGGATCAATGTTCTGTTTCCTCTGAGGTCATCGTCTCAAAGTTCACCTCTCCTGTCAATCATCACTAGGCCAATCTGTGTGGGTCATATTTAAAATGTGTAGGATGGGGCCAGAAGTTTAGTTTAAAACATTCAATGAGTGAACTTACAGTATCAACAGAATGTGTAGGTTGACATTATGTCAAATACATAACATAAATATCTACTGAAGAGAGCATGCTAACCAGCTAGCCGTGGCCATCCTGTCTTGTATTACCACTTGTACCTGGAGAGGCGATAGTGAGTCACTGCAGCGTTCTGTCCTCAGGCCAACATGAGAGGATGTAGAAGTAGAGCTGCCCCGAGGGCTTCGTGGGATCTGTTACATATTTGGATAGATTGTTTGTTGGATTGAGTCCAAAGTGGCAGAAACGAGGGAAAGCCTGGAGAGTCGCAGCGGGCTGGTGAGGCGCTGGGTCTAACCTGTTTTTGTTGATCTGGTGAGGAGTCCCAAAGGATCAGACCTGTTTCTAACACTTTGGATTTAATATGGTGATAACCGGGGTAGTAGCAGCATGTAAACACACTCACTCAGTTATTATTGTTTCTCTGTTTTCTCCACCAGGGTGTCGCTATGTCAGTAAGGCGGCACCAAAGACCCAGGTGGAGTTTGACTACGATGGACCATCCATGAAAACTTCAGTTCCTGGACCACGATCACAAGTAACAAACACACACACACACACACACACACACACACACAGACACGCAAATCAGCACACTCTATCCTTTCTTCAGGTATTCAGTATAATTGACTTTTATTTCTGTAGGAGCTGACGAAGCAGCTGGGAGACATTCAGGTGAGTTGAGGGTTTTGTGTGTGTGTGTGTATATATATATATATATATATAACCATGATCCTGAAACACATGTTAGAATAATAGAATGTATCTAGGTAACATTCACCAGAATGTTGGACTTTTTATTCCCACAGTATGATTATTTGTGTGTGTGGCATGGCGGGTGTATGTGTGTGAGTGTCTGCTGCCAAGTTAAGGACTGAATTCTTCTGAATAATGTGCTTAATACAGAACATGTCTATTCACAGAATGTTGGTGCAATCAACTTTTTCTGTAACTATGATGAGAGCAGGGGGAACTACCTGGTGGATGTGGACGGCAACCGCATGCTAGATATCTACACTCAGATCTCCTCCATCCCAATCGGTTAGTAGCAAGTGATCCATGTATGGATAAAATCCTTTATCACCACATATGCCATTTTACTTTCCGGTATCGATACATATTGTGAATTGGAAAATGAAAAAAGAACTGTAGCTGGAGAGCTGGCAGTTAACACCTGGGCACTAGTGTTTCTAGTTTGTTATTGGCAGAAATCTGAAGAAGTTACTCTCATGTATTTGTGTTACTTAAAGGCGAGCAATGATGAAGCCAAGAAGCAACCAAACTTCAGATGGTGCGGCGGTGCTTGACAGCATTCTGCTAGCAAACATCAGTCAGAGTTTAGGGAATTCTTGGGTCTAGTTGTTGTTCTGCTTCCCCTGGACACAGCAGTACATTAAATATACCCAACAAACCGATTTCTGAAACTTGTGGATTTTATAATATTTGCACAGAGGAAGACGGCACATTTTAGAGACGTCCAGAGCGGATGCTAAGGATCAGTATCTGGGCTAATCCAGGCGTCAAAATCTGCACCTTTCTTCACTAAACTCTCGTGTGTTTGCTCCACCTCCTGTTGCAGCGCTACGCTCATTTACCACAGCCGGTTCTATAGTGCAGCATTTCACTGCTTATGTACAGTAAGTGAAAATAGTCAGTCAAGGTGCCTCCAAGTAATGATTGACATTCACAGAGATTCCCTCAGCTACAATGCAAAGTACAATCATCAAATAGCAGTGTACAAAACATTCAGATAGCAGCTTCTCGTTTTAGCTGGTGCTGACCGACCCTTTCACCGATTATAGTGACAAGCGCAGCTCCACCCTGTGCCCCCCCCCCCCCCCCCCCCCCCCCCCCCCCCCCCCCCCCCCCCTCAGAGGCAATCAGAATGCTCCCAGTCTCTTATTATGCACCTTTAAAAATGTGGCCAAACTGAACAAACATACATTCACACATATCACAATCGCTGGTCTGATTGCAATGCAGGGGTTCTGCATCTGCGCTTAACTTGCTCCAGATCAGATGCAGATGGCATGTTAATACTAGCAAGAGATTTTGTCTTAATTCAACCTGGGGGCTCTGCAGGTTCTACTCGACTACTGTTTTGTTAGCATGGGTCTACCCTTTTGTTTTTGGTTCACTGACCAGCATAATTTACAGTAAGTGTACAATTTAAACACTGACCAGTAGAAAAGGGAACTTCCTATACCTTCACTGCCAAAAGTAGATTCTAGATCCTTCATGATAAAATATTTCAAAGACAAATGTCAAGGTTTAGAAAATGCTCTCCTGCTCTCTTTGAAATGGACCTTTGTTCAAAGACTAACCACTACTCCAGTTGGGTTGCAGTATTCCAGTCTGATTAACATTATTTGTGGTTTCAGCTCCAGGCCTCAGGGCCTCCCTGACAGAAGGGTTCCTGTTGGAGCCAAAAATTCACACACTTAATTAATTCAGTAGTTGAAAGGGCTGAACCACAGGAGCTTGTAACAATTGCTTACATTCTCAGAATAAGAAAAAGTAGATTTATTTAAGACATACCAGGCCAGTATATCTTTAAAAAAAAAATGTAATGTTTTTTTTGTTATGCTCACCGTTTCTACCCGACTCCTCACTGTGACTAGGATGTCTAAAAGCCACAGGATAATATCATGTCTTTACCTCAGCCTTCCTTTAATTGATAAGAGTACTGGGAGAAGGATGAACTCTCAGAGCCATGACGTTTTTACAGATGAAGTGAAGGTATTTTAAATTAATGAATTCAAATGGAAAGGGAAATATTGAGAAAGAATGGACGTCTTGTGCCTGTTTGTCATTGTGATGAAGTCCCCGGAGTCCTTGGACCTCCAGCATTCATAGCTTGTTTCCTGTTTTCTCTCTCTGTGTCCGTCTGGAGCTCAGTAAACGAACTAATGACAACGACCAGTTGGACGAAAGGTTCATGGCTGTGAGACGGTGTTTGCTTGATTTCAGTCTTCAAGGTTTTCTGTGTGTATTTGAGCTCAGAAAGGCAAACTGTGTTTTAGTTCAGTTGACAAGGAATGGTTCATTGATTGTGATATTTCTTTGTCTGTAACTGAGCTGGATGTCAGTGGATTGAAGGATTTTGAGTTACATAACAAGTCTGAAAATAATGGGAAATACTGCTAGTGTACTCTAATATCTACCTCTAGTATCTACCTGCTTGATGTCTAGTTACAGACCTGCTCTCATAGGATTATTAACCTGTTCGTCACTCTTAATACCAAACAATGCATTCAACCCCAGAGGAAAAATTCAAGGTAGAGAGAGAATACAAGGTAGAGACTGAGATCATGCAAAAAGCTCTAACAAATGGAGCGCTTCAGTGTGCCTCACCGCACTCTGCTGGTTGGAAGTGGAACAGCTTATGTAAGGCAGCCACATTCGTTTAGGTAACATTCAAGATTCAAAGCTTTATTGCCACGTGCACAGAAAACAGGACAGACATTAGCACTGATATTTTGTTCTTCACACTAACAGCTTTAACTCAACATGTCATCACTCAAATGTACTATATTTCTTGGAATTTTCCTGAAATTGGTACTCAGGCAAAAATAATTCAAGAACCAGATGGAAAGATCTCCACGCTGATGTATGCTTACTACAAAGAACTCATCTTTCAAATCTCCTTAGCTTCTAACACTAAACAAAGGAGTTAGTATTCCAATTAGTACAAATGTTTCATTGACTTCTAATACTACCATTACACATCCCGAAGAAGGTTTCATAACAATTAATATCAATGACAATCCAATAACAATCTGAAACATCCATGACCCAAACACTGCCATATTTGTCCCCCCTCCCCCGCTAAAGCCACTCACAGTGCATAAAATAGACCTAGTCCTAATAGACAGTGATTGGAATCGTCAGCGGATCAAACCACCAACTCAGGTAACACACATCTTAGTAATCTTCCGAAACATTCAAATAATTCAATGATTTTGGAAGAAAGAATGAAAGACTTAGACAATACATAAATATCTTTGACTGTTCTCGACAGAATGAATGATTATCCACTCAATGGATTAGTTGATTTTATCGACAGATCTGTAAAGCTGAGTTTCTCTTTAAAGAATCACACAAAAGTACCACTTTAAATCTTGTGTATAACAGAAATTAGTCTCATAAGCATGAAAATATATTCAAATATGACTCAGATATTAATATTTTAAATATACTAATAAATTCGCTTCGAAGTCCTTAATTACTTTCTACTGAGGGAAAACACATTTTACAACCTGTACTCATCAGAACATTATCCAAATCGAGACAGAATCCTGTCTTTTCTCATAACAATGTGCCAAAACTCACTGAAGTGAATGCAAACACCCTGATTGTCAATAACACAAGTATTCTGCAGTGCACTTAATCATTAACAAAGCGCCAGGACCTGATGTGCTGAGCTCTACAAACGGTTCTGGTGTACATTTACTCCACTCTTCAGCAGACTAACTGCTCAAATACAACAAGCTGTCAACATAAATACTGCAGTAATGACGCTCCTCCTGAAACCCAACAAACCTGCAATCTAATCATCTCCATTATCATTCATCATTTCAAATGTAAAACTCATCCGTAAGACTCTATAGCCTCCATATATTATACATCCAGATCAAACCGGTTTGATCACTCGTCCAACAATAGACACAGGCTGTTCCACATTCACTATCCAGAATCAGTAATTGTTTCACTGAGTGCAGACAAGCTTTCCAGAAATTCAAATATACATTTTTTTATGAACACATCACCTGTGAACAGCCTAACATCGCAAAGCTTGACGCTGAACACAGGCACCAGGTGAGGATGCCCACTTACCATGAGGAAAGTCAGTGCTTCGTTTATCCTCGTGCTACTCTCCACAGAGCGCTGTGTCAGTGCTTCATCACAGATCCATTCTGCTTGCTTTCTTAGTGGCCAAATCAATCAAACTCCATACACCATGTTTTCATTGCGACATGATAAATGTATGAAAAAAAAGCCAGAACCGAGCATCAACCCACTTTAGTCATTGTTAGTGATTGATTGTATCATCTTCATATTTCATGAGCTTTGTTTTGGCCCTATGTGTTGGATTTGAATTTGCTATATGAAATGTTAGCAAATATGCATTTTTAGCCCAAAAAGCGTATATCAGGGGCCGGTGGCAACAAGCTAACAGTGTGTTATCCAGCTAACTGGATGGCTTTGCTCACACACACTCAAACCCATGAATTCGAGACTATTGCTTTTCATGAGAGATAGCAGGTGGCTGTTATATAGATTTGTCATGAAATGTTTCCCTAAATATGTATGTGGAGTGCTTCTCAGGAGCAGCGTTATGTGTGTGTAAGCAAAGCCACCAAGATAACCGGCTAACACCATCATGGAGCTGTGGGACACATGTCATACAGTAGAAATGATTGGGACATGATTGGACGTCAGTTTCCTCTCCACTTTACCCAATCATTTTGTAACATAAAAAAATATATTTATGATTTGCTAATTAAAATTATTAAATTACTTATTAATTCAATCATTATTAATTCCATATTTTTAATATCTTCAAACATGTGATCTGGCTCCAAACCCTTCCTCTGGATGACAATACTAAATGTACCCATACTTTTTCTTTTGCCAGTATAAATGTGTACAGCACCTGTTAAATGACATCTACTCTGACCCCGAGACCAGAGTTAGATTGTCCCATCCACATTTTCAATGCTTCCTACGCCCATGCCCACTCTCACTCTGTCCTCCCTCAGGCTACAACCACCCTGCTCTCCTCAAACTGATGTCCAATCCAAACAATCTGGTAGGTCTTCCACATTCAAGATCATTTGTATCATCACTACAGTGAGAGTATGAACTGGTGTTGTTGTGTATTGATTTGCTATAGTGTACGGTGGTCCAGCTTTTACAGTAAGACAACCACAGTTATGCAATTCAGCCATATTTGTATTAAGATGCTCCTGGTTTTGACTGTTCCACTACTGTCCTAGTAAAGTTTAACTCTAAAGAGGATTACCCCAAAATACTACCAAATAACAGGCTGTGGTGCTTGTGGAATCCTGCACTAATCTAGGGGCATCATGGTGAAATAATAATAATAATGCATGACATTGTGGCTCAGTGGAGTACTGCATTAAGCAGTCACTGATGTCAAATCATTTCAGAATTGAATTTGTACTTTATTTGGACAATAGGTGATGTATGTACGTAAATCACACAGTTGATGCTGTGGTCAATGAATGGAGCTTACATGTTATTTACCTTACTTTAAATGAGCAACCACGTCACAGTGTAGTCGGGTAGGTGAGAGCAGTCAAAGTGAATGGATTGCTGAGTGTCCCTTCATATAACGTTTTAGTTGTGCTTGTTCAGTGTTGTCTGAAAGGTGTCTGTGCTTTCTGTTTGTCTTTCAGAGTACTCTTGTGAACCGACCCGCCCTGGGAATCCTGCCTCCGGAGAACTTTCCAGAAAAACTCGCTGAAAGTCTTCTCTCAGTTAGTAACATACACACAAAGTTCAACATAGTGAACAGTTGAGAGATAATGGTGTTAATATTGTTGTAAGAAAAGTGTATTTAATTGTATGCATATTTGACTTATAAAGATAAACAACAGTAACACAATAAGTCTTCCCTCCTGTCAGGTGGCTCCCAGTGGAATGGCTCGTGTTCAGACAATGGCCTGTGGCTCTTGCTCCAATGAGAATGCTTACAAAGCAATGTTTATCTGGTACAGGGTGAGTGAGTGCTACTACTACTGCTACTGCTATTTCTGCTATTATTAGTGCTTCTACCCGGGGACAAGACACTGAAACCCGGGTTGCTCCCCGGTTGCTTCACAGCAGCCCACTGCTCCAAAAAATGCTTAGGATGTGTTGAAAGATCACATTTCATTTATTAACTTTTATGTTTATGCCCATTGTAATAACTCCAACTCCATCCTCGAGTCTCGAGTTGCTAATCGGCTTAGAAATATGAACCTTTGCACAGAACAGGAGGTCTTGGCCCGGAGATCCACTATCTTGTCTCTGGATATCTGCTGGTTACACCAAACCCCTGGAATATTGTTCGTTGTCCCCAGAGGTTAAATCATCATCAGACAGACTGCCGCTGGGTAGTGACATTGTCAACCATCTAAATCTTACTCCGGATGTTCACTAAAGAAAGATCAGCCGGTTGTCTGACAGCTCGGTCTGAACATAGACAGTGAACCAGCCTCTGACTGATGAGCAGTGGAGACAGCAGGTAGCTGTGGTAATGATAGCTTTATAATGACAACTGGATGCAAACTGTTGTACTGCTGCAGAGCAGCGTGGCAGGGACACTGTGTGTGTGTGTGTGAACAAGTTAACAGAGCCTCTTCCACTCACCTTACAATAGACAAGATCAACATATGTAACCGACAAAGATAGCTACAAAACGAGTAGATGAAAAAAAAAATACATGATGAAATGACAAATGTTTTACTGACGTAAACTAGATTAACATTTGACTAACACAAATGTACATTTAGACAAAAGACTCAAACAAAATCTGAATCAGGCGCCGAAATCTACACTGGAGGTCAGGCTCTAAAAGTGCTAGATCCAATCCAATCTATTAGAAATGTGTATACTTCAACACAACTGAAATAGAACCTTTCAGACACAGTTCCTCCAGAGCAACAGGCTGATAGTACTTCCTATGACAGTAAACAGAGCTTTCTGTGAGCCCCTTTTAAACACTGATTGAGCCTGATGAATTCATTAAAAGTGCCATTTAAATTTACATACAACCCTGATGTGCTGCAAGAACTTTTATTTTCTAATTGGTTACATAGTGTACACCATTTTATTTCTTAAATATGTTTATTGTTCTGTTCTCAAGATAAATATCTGATGAAATAAGAACTTACAGTAGATATGATCTCAACAACCAAATGTAAATGTACTTCATCTGTGTGTGTTTGCTGTAGAACAAGGAGCGAGGCCACAACACACCGTCTGAAGAAGACCTCAGCTCCTGCATGATAAACCAGGTGGGGGAAAGAACGTTCACTACATATCAGAATATTTTGACATTTCCAGATATATTCTACTAAATATGTGCGTCATCCTCTTTGTCTTTCTTTCTTTCTCTGTTTTTCTGTCTCAGGTCCCAGGTTGTCCAGAACTCAGTATTTTATCTTTCATGGGAGCTTTCCATGGAAGAACCATGGGTATGTTATCGATCGCTTCTATTTTGACTTTTTAGAAATGTTGTTGATGTTAGAATTACATTTGGATTACAGATTTTGAATAATCATCTTGAGTGTGGCTCAGTATCTGAGGGAGCTTTGAAACAATCCAAACTTTAAGCTTTCTGCAGGTAACACAGTTCAAGTTACGTGAATAGACATTTAGATTAAAAGTCTGTCTGTGCTTGGTCCAACAGTATCACAGAATTTAATATTATTATCTTAATTAGTTAGTGAAAATCGCCTTAGTCCCAGAGTAGGAAAACCATTGGTCACAGGCCGCTGAGCTCTGATCTGGGCCTCCGAGTATAACCGCGGCCAGAGTCATGTCATACTCAACATTCTGCTGCTCTGAAATTGTCTCCACGAATGAAAAGTGTTTTCATTCTCTTCATTCCAGTCACTTCTTTTCTATTGGTGGTAAACTACTGTCAATTCAACTCGACACGTCAACACAAGATATAAACCTGCAGCACACCAGAAATACTACATGATGAACAACTATTGAACTATAGTGGCTGAGTTATTATTGCAACATCATAGATTCATGGCTAACACAATCTTTTTGCCTGTTAAGGTTGCTTGGCAACGACACACTCTAAAGCGATCCACAAGCTGGATGTGCCATCATTTGATTGGCCGATCGCTCCGTTTCCCAAACTGCAGTACCCGCTGGAGGAATTTACCAGAGAGAATGCACAGGACGAGGCTCGCTGTCTGGAGGAGGTAGGCTGTGTGTGTAGAGGAGAAAGCTGGGATGGCGATTATTTAGTTTTTGTTTTCTGGGATTAACCTGACAAAAAGTCATCCAGTCACACAGTCAGCCAACACAAAGGTGCTATGCCTTAAATACAGTATATGTCAATTCACTCATACAACCTTAATAAAGTAGACTTTTATCCTAAGAACCTGTGAACAAAGAAATACTCCAGCACCATTTGCTTTCTAATTGTTAGATAAATGTATTAACATAATTAAAACTGAAGGTTATGTAGTTTGTACATGAAAAACTCAAAATATTCTTCCTCTTTAAAAAAAGACAAATAAATACACATGTATCCAACAGGTGTTCAGTTCAGCTCATTCTCTATTCAAGCAGCTGTTCAAACCAAATTCAGTTCATTTAACAGGCCAAAAACAAAAATGTCCACAGGAATACAGTTCAGCTCAAAGTATATCACTCGTGCTGTCAAGGCACTAGTCGCACCAGCAGCAACTAAAAGAAGAGGAGGGTGAGCTGGATGATTGAACATGTTCAACGTCCACAGTTCAGCAGTAATTTCAATACATGTTATAATGTAAATTCAATCATCCATTCATATCGCAACTGGCAGGCTGTTACTGTTTGCTGTGATGGTGCTGGCACTTTGTGATGACGCGTCCCCGCAGTATGCGTGTATAAGAGCAGGATGCAATACTTGTTCCATCATGATATATTGCAGAAACAAAGATTACATCTCTCTTTGTTGACTGGACAGTGGCTGGAGCATTGGGTTACCTTCCCTGCAGACTTTCTTTCATTAAATGTATGTGCAGTACCTCAGTGCAGCTAATAGCCTGTGTAATTATGCTTAACTGTGTGAAATTCATCTGGCCATTTGTTAAGTGCCGACAGGACTTGCAAGTGTTTGATCAAGGAATCAACTTGTGTGTATTCACTTGTTGATTCAAAAGCCTAACTTCCATGGTTGTGCTAGAAAGATAGCCCATAATGATCTATAGTGATATTTAAAGCTTTGGTTGAAAAATGCAACCTCTCTCTCTCTCTCTCTCCCCCCCCCCCCCCCCCCCCAGGTGGAGGACCTGATCATAAAATGGAGACAGAAGGGGAAGCCTGTGGCTGGGATTGTAATTGAACCAATCCAGGCTGAAGGGGGAGATAACCACGCCTCCCCAAACTTCTTCAAAAGCCTCCGCAACATTGCACGCAAGGTAACAGTGATCACTATGGCAACAGATCCTTTAAAAGGGCATTAGCTTGTTGAGACAATTGCATCAACTGGGAAGAAATACTGTAGTGCTGGACGATATGAAGAACTCAAATACTGTATCAGGACAATTTTAAACAAAACCATCGATATTGTGAACATATTGTAGGGTTGATTATTTGTGCTTTCATAAAATATAGTAATGTGGATATAATGACTAAGTAGGTGAAGGCAAATAAACTCCTGGAGCAGTCTGGTAAGGTCAGAAGATGACATCAAGTCACTATTATGAAGCCTTTAAAACCAAGAAAAGACACTTGTGTCATATTGTGATGTCCAAAATCTAAGACGACATATAGTTTCATATCACAATGTCAATTTAATATTGATATATTTCCCAGCTATAGTATACTGGTTCACTACCCTCAGACACCACTTTGTTGACATGACATGGATCAAATTATTATTGAGTTATGCCTCATGATGGCAAATAACACCATCTCACTAAATAGAGAAGTAATGAAATAGTTTATACTCGATTGGACTGCATGTTATTATAGAACAATGTGATCTGACTGAATTCAGAGTGAGCATAGATTGAGATCGTTGAGCTCTGTAAGTGCTCTCTACCACAAAGTGTATATTCACTTATATACAGTGCAATGAGTACTAATGAATTGACTTTATAGAGAAGTTGATCAGCATGCCAGGTAACAAAAAAAGTATTTTCGTAGGGAATGAAAATCCCCCAAAGCACATGATGAGCCAACCATATACAGGGAGGCAGGGGAGCCCCATAAGAGCTGGAACACTTTGAGCCACATGAACTGGAGGAAGGTCACTAATGCCAATGATGCCTGTCACAGACTGTGTTCAGAGAAAGGCACACTCTTCTAGGACATGGTTTTAAGCCATAGATCCAGCCCACATTCGACACTGAAACGGGGTCTGGTATTGTCTGAAGAAAGTCTTGTCAAAAGAAATTTCATTGATATTACATGTATTCATGTGTCTTGTACAAGCCAAGCCACTGTAGATCTAACTTCCGAGGATAAGTGCCTCAATACCTGCCTCCATGTTCCAGGAGGCTCAGAGTGACGGTAGACGACTTGACATTCATTATGCAGATCCTAGTGAACAAACAATAGTGACTTGTACGTAAAACTGAACCTGAACTGTTGCGAGCAGCTACAGGAAGCCAGTGGACAGTACTGAAAAATGTTTCTTTGTCCCACTGTAACTTTGCTGCTTTGAACCAAACAATCTTATATTGTGTTTTGGCCAAACTTTGTGTTTTTGATACAAGCCTTTAGATTCCTTGTGAAATGTTATATTTGGACTGTAGCAAAGTACACCATTGTACATCAACACTGGTCCAGCTGCTGGGATTCTGCCGTTCATGGTTGTGGACCTCATAACTGACATGATAATATCAGTGTCGTCTGGTCCTGAGTCAGTATTCCTCCTTATGGAGACTTCCTACTCAAGCTTCTTACCCATTGACTCTCCTGTCAATGAGTGAAAAACTTCTAATTCCCTTCCTTTCCTCCTACTGCTTTCATTATCTCTTTACCTTGTTCACTTCTCCGTAGCTCACTCTGTTAACCCTTTACCTCCCCAGCATGGCTGTGGTTTCCACGTGGATGAAGTCCAGACTGGTGGAGGGAACACAGGAAAGTTGTGGGCTCATGAGCACTGGGGCATGGATGACCCTGCTGACATTGTGTCCTTCAGCAAGAAGCTTCTCACTGGTGGCTACTACCACAAAGACGAATTACAGGCTGATAAGGTTAGTCATTGTTATATTGGTCATATTTAATATATCATATACAAGTTTTCTGTGATGTGTTTCAGATTTGATCAAGACAAAAGATCAAAAGCCCTGTTAGGAGCCTGGAATGTCCAAAATACCCCAAAGTATGGATCAAACCACATACTGATGATCTAGCTATTCTTGGAAGTTTCTCCAGTATTGGGTCTAATCACGTTGGTGCTGCTGGAGAAACTGGGCGTGGTGAAGATAAAATCGAAAGAGTTCATCATCTAGGCAGCATGAATGGGCTGAGTCAATGTAGTAGCAACCCACCCATAGCCACAGCTCTCCAATCAATATTGTAGTTTCTTAGATCACATCCAAAAGTTGGAGGATCACCAAAATCATTTGCTGTATATTTATAAGTATAATACCTGCAAACCCATTGGTTTTAACTTGTTATCTGAGCTAGGAAATAATGAGATCAGTCGTGTGTGTGCATCTTTGTGTCTGTGCACGGCTAATCTTGCATACAGCTGCATCAAACTGCATTATATTTTAGGTGCTCGTTTATGGCTGCATGCTCAAGGACCTCTCATGGTTGCAGTGACTCAGACTTTCTCAAAACACCTGCCATTGATTGACTGCTGACTCACTGCCATTGGACTGTCTCTTTTAGATATTAAAAGATGTTTGGGAGATCGGTTTTTGATTACAAGTGTGTTTGCTTGTGTATCTGTTGTCTTTTTTCAGCCGTACCGCATCTTCAACACGTGGATGGGTGACCCAACAAAGAACTTGCTCCTGGCTGAGGTTCTCAATGTGATTCGCAGAGAGAACCTTCTGGAGGAGGTGACCCGCTCTGGAAAAGCCCTGCTAAACGGCCTTTATGAGCTACAGGTAGTGTGTGTGTGTGTGTGTGTGTGTGTGAATATGTAACGGTGCACTTTGTTTTATTTGCGCCAAACTAGTGAGGTTAGCGGATCACAATCTATGGTTTACATGGATTTTATTGTTGGAAGTATAGCCCTGCCTCTGTTTCTGTGGCTCTGTCTCTGAGAACAGGTCTGATCTCCTTCATCACACACACACACACACACACACACACACACACACACACACACACTGTCAAGCCTACTTAGCCACATATCTCAAAGTGAGCAAATTCTTGTGTTTTATCACGCCAGTGAAAACGTTGAAAACATGCCTGTTCAGAACGAGCTGAATGTTGCTGCTTGCAGATTTCTGGAGAACCGCAACTTCACACTCAACTCTGCGCTTTCTTGGTCCTCAGCAACACACCTGCCATGACATACTGTGTTGAATCACACATGTTTAGATATTAAAATTATTGAATTATGTTACCGTTCTAACTCATTGTAACTTTAAATAACATACAAAAGGCCCCAAGCTCTTGAAAAACATGCAACTCAACTTTTTACTATTTCTACTACATTTACCTGACAGAGAGAAATGTTATTGGCTACGTTGCAGATTCAGATTTGACATACAACATGACCTACGTGTGTGTGTGCGGGTGTGGGTGTGTGTGTGACATACATGACCTTCATGTACATGTATGTGAACATGACCTCCGTGCGTCTGGTCCCCAGGCTCAGTACCCCGGCCTATTGAGTCGAGCTCGAGGACAGGGGACCTTCTGTGCCATTGATATCTGTGATGATGCAACACGCAGCAGCATCCTGCTCAAGGCCAGAGACAAAGGTATGAAGTACACCACCATTTCTTATTTACAGAGTACTTCTGCTTAGAACTCACCTTCCTTGGAGTACCAAAATGATGAAGTGATGACATTTGGACAGACATGGATGTAAACTGCAACATGACAGGCATACAACTTTTCTAGTTGTTTTTAGGGAGTTGAACAGTGACAGCTCTAATCTCACTGTTAATAACTCCATCAAATAGACAGTTTACATCATTACACTGTCAGAAAATGTTGATATTGATATTAATTGATACTGAATGAACAGGAATAGGCTTTTGTGTTCAACCTTATGAAGGTGGATGACGGATCATTGATTGAGCTGTGTGGATACCCTGTAACAGTGTTTGTCATTGACAGGTGTCCTCCTGGGAGGGTGTGGGGATCGATCGATCCGTTTCCGTCCAGCTCTGGTTTTCAAGGAGTACCATGTGGACATCTTCCTCAACATCTTCAATGACGTGTTGGCCCAGCACAAATAAATGGTGACCCTCAAGGAGCCTGACTGACACTGCATGAGTTAATCCAGAATGGAGGGAGGAAACTCCAGACAGTCCATGTCATGATAAGCACAATCCACACAATTACTCACACAGCTATCTCATATATCCTCTGTTTCAGATCCAATAAGCCAATCTTCATCCCCTTAGCCAGAAAAGATGATGATGATATTCTCATGATTTTGCTGCCATAAAGGTGTACCCAGAAAAGCATCCAGGTGCAGTAACTAGGTATCAGTAACTGAGAATGTTCATGTTTCTGTAAAATGAATCTGTGGAAATGTCTCCAAACTCCAGAATCATTCTCATCTCTTACATGTAGACTGACTTGACCGCTGGATGAAGTCATGCCAGATTGCACATCATGTCAGCAAATCTAGCTGCTACTCCTCCCCCTACGCCCTTGTGATGACTCTGTGTTGCTCTTAATAGGAATGACTTTTGAAATGTTGTAGCCCAGAAAAAAATGTGAATCTTAAATGGACCATGACAATGTCATAGATTGTTTAGTGCCTGCATGTCACTTAAATGTGCTAATATTGTTTTCTTTTCTTTTTTAGTGGCTCAAACGGGAGCAGCCATTGGTAACCTTAGTTGATCTAAAATTCTGAACACATTTTGACTTGACTCTTGAACAAAAGCTTCATATATTGCCAAAATTATATTTTTAAAACAGATTTACTTTTCATTTTCATGCCACACTTTGTTATCATTTCATATTTAACACTTCTCATGTGTGACAGAACAGCCAGTTGGTGTAAATTCAGCATGCAGGAAAACTGATCATTTTCAGTTTGCATCAAGCTTCAAAATCCTTCTTCAATTCAGACTGATTATGGGTTCACAGGCCTTCGGCCTCTGTGGGGTCCTTCACACAGAGGAGATAAACCATGACCTGGATGACTGAGAATCTTCTAGCTGTTAGTAATCCGTCTCATCCAAGGCGCAACAATGAGCCCATTCCACACTTAAAACAAATGTCACCAAGCAACACAAAGGTCAGATCTAAAATGCATTGGACGTGTTTTCAAACAGTATTTTTTGATTTCTCAAGAGAAAAGACTTCAAATATATAGATTAACTGACTGGTTTGACAAATGCGCGTCTTTTTTTCAATGGGAATTGTGCCAGACTCTGCTACTGAGTGGATGAGACAGACTCAAACAGGGTTGGCCTGTTAGCAAACTGTAGCTAAGTTGCAGAACTTGAACTTTGAGCACAAGTCCATTGAGAAGCAATTAGATCATAAGCAATACAAAGATGTAGAGCATAAAGGCTTAAACACCATCACAGCACAACTTTTTCTTAATATTTGTAGAATTATTTTTTGTAACTCTGCCCAAGCTGTTGTTCTACTGATTCTGTAGAACACTTAAAACCTTCATCGGTGTCTGAATGTTCCATGGAGCTTTTAGGCAAGTGTTACAAGTGTGTAGCAGTTCAGAAAAGGTGTTATCATTCATTTCTTTCTGATTATTAACTCAATACAGTCATTAATATATATGAATATTATGTACATTTTTTACATTCATTTTGCAGAAATTATATCCAGTAAGCCTAATGTAAATTTGTTCCACATAGTTCACAGGGTTAGTGAGTCTTGTATAAACATCGATTTTAAAGGAGTAAGAACTGCAGGGTGTCCATGTGAGCAATACAATGGTGATGATGACAACAGTGCCGTCTCCTTGTCAGTCAGTGTTCCATGAATCCACGACGACCTTTAATCTTTTTGACATGAACTATTATCACTTGTGATCTGAGATAGATGATTATTGATGTACAGTAATTATTTTAGATGGCTCTAGCTGTTGTCTATAAAACATTCTGTCCATTTAATGTAAGAAATAAAAGAAGTTTTGAGTAACCGAGTTGAGTTTTTATTTCTTGAGCATGAAAGCTCATTCAGCCCTTCCTATCTACATAGTCCACTTTGACCTGAAAATATGATTAAAAAACAGTGTTTATTTTAAATTATATGAATGTCGAAGTGTCTCTTTTGCAAGCCTGAATGTTCTGAGGTGAAGAAAGACTTTGGGGGGAAGGTCATTAAAAATAAAGCCTGTCTACCTACCTGCCTACCTACCTGTCTGTCTACCTACATCCCTTTCTACCTACCTGCCCGTCTACCTACCTGCCTACCTACCTACCTGTCTACCTGTCTACCTACATTCCTTTCTACCTAGCTTGCCTGTCTACCAGCCTATCTTGTTAACATCCAGCCTATTTTTGCTCCTTTCTCTAATGTTACCTACCCAAGCTCTAAATATCAGCCAAAAAGAAAAGTTGTGCTTTTGACTGTAAACATGTATTGGTATATTTAAAGGCTGGAATGGAGCTCGAGATGCTACAGTTATATGTCATGTGCTGTCACCATTCCGCTATCACAGCATTCCTAATGGTTATGTTTACATTTCTGACATAAAAAAGTTAACACATTTGTGAATTCTCCATACATCCAAACTGCTCATAACCATTGACTGAAATAGTTTGGAAAGGTAATACTCCTTTAACATGTAGTATTTAAGTAGGTTTTGACGTAAGGGACGAAAACGAATAGGCTGTGAACCTGTAAGTGTTTCTTGCAGAATTCAAGTGATCTGTAAAGTGAATTCATTATATTTACACTGATACTTCCGCGACAGTTTCATCGGCCTGTGTACGTTTGGATAGTTTGTTTTATCATTAAATTAAACTATCAAAACGTTGCAACTCCGATTTGTTTGACTTCATCATGGATGTGTTTAAAGAGAAGCTTTTGCTATCTCCTCGGTTGTAATCGGCTACTCTCGTCAAGTTTCGAGGTAAGACGCAGTAGTCCGCTTTGGCGTGACAACGTGGCGGTTAACAGCCAATAAGAATTTATCCAAAAGTATTTCACGAATGTGTCCTACTCCTTATTGGTTAGAACCCCCTTCAGGGCGTTGGTCATTGGGTATCTGAACAACAAGGCCCGCCTCCCTGACATTGATATTTAAAGGTACAGAGTGCCAACGCGGACGGAATTGCTGCTCAAACTGCGAAGGGAGGTGTCGCGAGAAGCTGCCAAGAATCTGGTGAGTTAACTTCTTTCTTGCCTCTAAAACATTACATTAGAATAACTCTGACTAACAGTATCATTTGTGCTTTTGTAGCTGCGCTGTTACACAGCTGATGAACTTCTAGCAACATGAAGGAAAAACTGTGAAAGTGTGTTTAATGATGGGTTCATGTAGACTGCAAGGCTAGAGGAAAATAAGACACTATTTACAAGTCATTTCATTTTATGAATTGTTTGAAAATGTCAACGTTAATGGAAGAGAATGTTTATAGATTGTATCTCCGTTTTTAACTTTGTGATGACACACTTCCAATTATTTTAGGATTGATGGGGGCTGAAAGATTCTCTTTCTGACCCCAGAGAGTCACTGTCAGTAGAATGATCCAGGACATGTTCTTGTTCCTGTACTATTGTACTTTGATAATTAAAAGTATTGTTAGTAGGTTATTATGCTGATGAGGTGGTCGTAGTCGGCCTTCTTCCACAAACCCATGTGGATTCACGCAAAATAAGCACCTTTGAGTTGAATGTGGGTAAGACTAAGGAAATTATCCTATTTTTGCCAGGCAGGATTTCATTGCAGTTGTAGAAAGTAATGTCTTGGTACGGTTGTAACTGCTGTCTACCAAACTTAAAACTTTTATAAAGAAATGCACGGACCATTTCCTTTCCTCAGTAGACTCCTCAGAGTCTTTACAGAACTTTCAATGAGAGCGTGCTAAATACCTTCCCTATTTGATCACCTGAACTCCAGGCTCAGGATAAGGTGCTTGGCCAACAGAAGAACAGGTTAACCCCAGATGGGTCAGAGTGAACTGTATACCCTCAGCAGTCACCTCTGGGCCTTTATTCCCTCAGTTGAGACTGTGACCTCAGGGAGGCGCTGTAGACTCTAGACTTTTATTCCAAGCATTTCAATCAGCAATGTGAACGGAAAACAGAGGTCATGCCTCAAGTATTATGCTTATGTTATTGATAAGCGTGTGTACTGTGCTTGAAACTCTTTAAACTCGATTTTTTGGGATATGTTCTTAATTTCTGACATCCCCCTCTCCCCTTCCCTCAAACACACACATCACATTTCTTGTCCCCCCCCCCCACCAGTCAATGATGAGGATGATGTTGAGGTCCCTAGCCTCCCTCTGCTTCCTGGCTGCTGCTGCCTTAGCCGTCCCTGCTCAGGAGAAGCGCATCCTTCACCAGGCTGATCTGAGTGACCGCGCCCATGACGATGCTCACGGCTTCCAGTACGACCATGATGCCTTCCTGGGCAAAGAGGAGGCCAAGACCTTCGATCAGCTGACCCCCGAGGAGAGCAAAGACAAACTAGGGTAGGTGTTACTGACCTTCAGGATGCTCTTTCTACACTGGCCACTGCAGCAACACTCACAAGCTTCAGGGTTCATTTATTGTACAACACCGTGTTGCTCAATGAAATACCAGCGTAGGCCTTTATCCTACACAAGAAAAAGACAACACAACCATAAAAGTACACTCGTAAAGTGGATGCCATGCCAACTGCCAATTATTCCAAAACTCCAATAGACCGAAAAATGTCTCACTGGACTGAAATTCAATTGTCCTGTTATCCCAAAAACAAAGGCCCATTGCTCCAAAAATACAAACTCTCGGTGCAGCGAACAGAAGCTCATAGTTAATTATTATTCAAAGGCATAACCCGCCCTACTCTGCCTCTGGTTGACTTTCCCTGATATTCTCACCCTAAACCTAACCACCCCAACCAACGAGTAATAAGAGGCAGAGTGGCGGGTCATGCCGTCAGTAGGAAAACAAATCGTTAAGATACAGTGACATCATTCTGCATAATATTTAATAATATTTAGCCATGTGCTTATGTTGCAGGAACATTGTGTATTTTTCGGAGCAATGGCCGTTTGTTTGTTGAGGGAAAACAGGCTGTTGTACAAATGGGCTCTCTGTCTAATGGGACATCTTTTGGACTATTGGGGTTTCGGAGTAATGGGCTGTCCCTGTTGAGTGTAGATGCCTGCCAGGTGTGTCTGCATCAACCACTGCTGTGATGTTTGATTGAATAGATACAAACCAGCCCCCGTCTAGACTGCAAGGGTGTGAGATGAAAACAAACTGTAGAGCATTTCTTTAGTTTTTTCATTTACATCAGGAGGAATGTAAACAGCAGCAACACAAAGTTTTGCTTATAACAAAGGTTTGTACTTGTGTGTTTTTACATATTCATCAGCTTTTTCTTTGGTTTTTCTTTTGTACTATTTGGGTTTTGTGTGTATTTGGGGTTCTATTTCTAATGCATGGAGGGAGCAGATGCTTCCAGTCACCCCTATCCTTAACTCTGACCCCATCTCTCCCTACAGGAAGATTGTGGAGCGCATTGACACGGATAAGGATGGCTACATCAGCCATGCAGAGCTGCACAACTGGATCAAACACCGGCAGAGGAGGTATATCGCGGAGAATGTGAACAAACACTGGAAGGACTACGACAAGAACCAAGACGGAAAGATAAGCTGGGAAGAGTACAAAAACACCACCTACGGATACTACCTGGGTAAAGCTGTGTAAAAGATGACTCTTCCTCTCTCCCTTTTCCTTCTTTACTTCTTTCTTCTTTCTTCCTTTACAATGCCACCTCAAGTTCCATTTGTTAGCTGTTCTGGAGCATTCACAGCATGATCTTCACAGAACAACCGAATGCCCGTATGGCTGAAATATGAAGTGTGCTTTTCAGACGAGGAGTTTGATGACGTCGAAGACAAGGCCACCTATAAGTCCATGCTTACCCGGGACGAGAGGCGCTTCAAGACAGCTGACCGAGACGGTGACGGTATCGCCACACGTGAGGAGTTCACTGCCTTCCTTCACCCGGAGGAGTACGATTACATGAGAGACGTGGTGGTGCAGGTAGACCAACTCTCTAAGCAGCAGGAACTTTGGTGATAAGATGATGAAGTGTTTTTTTTTTTACCATGGTATTAATGTGGCTCCATGGATGGCAAAGCCAGGGGTGAGATATGTTTCATGCTTTACAAGCATAAATACACGTTTGCAGCTGATGTGTATCTGTTTGCATAGATTTCCACATCAATATCGTTTCCCAACCCTGTGAGCCCTGGGGAGGCTCCGGACCTCGGCTCTACACAGCACATGTGATTACTGTGAATATTACTCGTGTATTCACATAATGTTGTATGTTTTCTGCTTGTAGCCTGACATCTGTGATTCGTTTGTATACCAGTGAAATGGTTGTGTCAGGTTACCCTTCATCGCCCCCTCCTCCTCACACAGAGGAGGAGGGGGCTTGACTTGTTCAATGCATTAAGTATCAGGACTGGACCACTATGAGCACTACATCATTTTCTCATGTAGGAAACCATGGAGGACATCGATAAGAACGGCGATGGCAAGGTCGACATAGCTGAGTACATTGGTGGGTGTTTCCCGTGTTCTCTCAGACCAACCACCCCCTCCTCTCCTAAACCTGGAGGACATCTGTCCTAAATGTGTGTGTGCTGCTGCGCCTCCACAGGTGACATGTATACATCAGAGGATGGGGACGGCGAGCCGGACTGGGTCCAGACAGAGAAGAAGCATTTCTCCGAGTTCAGAGATGCCAACAAGGTAAAAGCTACAGTAAAGCTGCAGTCGCAGCCTTTGTAGTAAAACTATCAATATGACTATGTACAAATACTCTGTTAATAAGTAAATGTCTTACATTTAGGATTAGATTTGCGTTAAGCAAAAGTACAAAACAATTATCAGCAAAATGTAGTTTAAGTTCCTTTCAGAATGTTTTAATGAATATTATAGCTGAAGCATTAACACATGAGCAGTATTTTAATGTTGCAGCTGGTGGAAGTGGAGCTCATTTTAAGTACTTTATATACTGTTGGATAGTTTAATCTATAACTAATATTTAATCAATCACATGTTTTGTTTGTAAAGTACCTAGTTACTCCAGCTGATTAAAGTAATGTATGGACATTTAGTAGACCGGAAATATAACTAAGAACATGAAGTAGAAAGTTCCAGCTTCACCGTTGTGTGTATTTTTTACTTCAGATGTCTGTGTGCATCCTCTGTGCCCGTACTTACAGTTGCTTCCTCAGTAAAGCAGTTGTGTGTTGTACAGGATGGCTACCTGGATGCTGGTGAGGTAGCCCACTGGGTTCTGCCGGGAGATGTTGACCATGCTGACAATGAAGCCAAACACCTGATCCATGAGACGGACACCGACAAGGTAGACCTGCCACTGCTTAAACCCTCTGCCATACACAGTCTTTGCCCACCATAGCCTCTGAAGCACACTTCCATATTGACCATTTTCCAATAGCAGAATGTTTTCATGGATGGATTTTCACTTCCCTCCAGACAGACATTAAAGCCACAGCAGATAACTGAGCAGTACTTTATTTATCAAGAGAGTACATTGTCAGTGTGTGGTAATGCAGTTGTAAGCAGGGAGTATTGAGAAAACTCTCCTTGATGGTGCATTCAAAGATGCTTCAACATCTAACACAGTTAAAATATATTAAATGTATGAGCTCTCTCCTGGGAAAAATGAAACCCAGATGACATGGCAACAAGAGGATGAATATTGTACTTTCCAACTTCTACATTAAAAGGTTTGCAGCTGAGTTTGTAAAGTTTAATATTGAGGCCATAACTCAAGAATGGACATGATAACTATAACAATTTCACACAAATGTCTCATAGGATCAAATGATGAAGCGATGACATTTTGAGCGTGCTTTTAATGAATGTTAGTGCATGTGAGCGTTCCCCACTGGTTAGCTTGAGGCTATCGCTCTGCACTGCAGAAGCGTAGCACCCACCCTCCGGTTCCACCTTTAGCTCTGTCACCACTGTTGCTGTTGTTTGCACTGTTAGCTCTGTTAGCTGTGCGTCGTCAGCTCAGCCCATGCCATGTTGAGAACTGTTGAGAGACAATAGATATGCTCCCAATCTTGTCTGTAGCACCTTTAAATGCACCAAAGGACTTTTCAACACAGTCGCCCCTCGCAACTGCAATACCAAACAGTTGTATTGTAACTGACAAAGGTCAGTGGTTCGCTGTGTCTGCAACAGGAGTTTCATCGTGATGAAACGGAAGAGAGGTAAGGTAGTATCTATAAATAGAACTAAACCAGGACCTTACTACTCTCTCTAGTTTGAATGAGTAGAATACACACTGTACATACTACAATATCATGTATAATGCACTGGGCACTACACAATGTGCTGCACGGCAATGTAATTAATGTCAAGAATAAAAGTTAACACGGTGCATGTAATTGGGTAATTGTGGGTTAATTATTAACTAGCTTCTGTCTGTGTCTTGTTTCTCTTACTCCGGCTTGTCATCACCTCTTCTCTTTCTGTCAATCATAAACCAATAAACCAATGCTGGATGGAATCTGGTGATCAAACAACAGGACCAGAAAATTACCAAGAAGGAGATTCTGGCCAACTGGAACATGTTTGTGGGCAGCCAGGCCACCAATTACGGGGAGGACTTAATAAGGAGACACGATGAACTTTGATGAGCTGTCAGAAGCTCATTGGGAGAATATGGTTACCATGGTTTTGGGGTGGGGGTTCTGACTCTGGGGTAAAGGGTGTAATTATGTACCTTTGGTCACGCATGCACATACACACAAACACAATCCATTGAAATTCAGCATTCACTCACATACTGTGTATGTGAATACAGACGCTAAACTTCTCTCTTTGCTTCATTTACATATCCTCATGGGGTTTTTAACTGAGATGACACATTCCTGTTGTCTGATGAAAACTGTGCATCTCCACAATTACAAACTAAAGAAACTGTGGATAATGTCCAACATTCACTGGCATCCAGCTGACACAGTTATTTTTCTATGAGCCTGAGAGGTTCAAACGTAGTCCCAACACATCGTGTTCTGAAGACCAGCAAACATTGAGATACTGAGTTTTTACCTGAGATGGTTACATTTACCAGAAAGCATGTGAACAGTTGCTCTCAAGAAGTGTATGAAGTGACTTCAGGGGGTTTGACTATTAAAGTCTTCTTTTTTCTACAAATGCAGTTTATTTGTTATTTATTTGTGTATATTATATTGTGATTATGAGAACAGTGTAGCTCTCTACATGAATAGGAGGTGATTTTCTGGTTACTGGTATATTTCTGACTATTTTCCTACAATATGACATTTAGTCTGAAGGTGTTAAAGCAGATGTACAGATATTTATCAACTTTCAGCAGAATCATATTCATACATCTCTTCATGTTATCAGTGGTCCAGAAGAATACTTATATTTCATTTAAAACACAACAATCAGTTTTTGTTTTACAAATCTCATGTATTGCTTTGACCTTGTTCTTGATTATTTGTAATTTTGTGTACATTTTATTATGATGATATTTACAGTATTGGAAACTACCACTTAATGAGTTAACTGAGCAGGTTGTGTGTCATAACAGGTACGGATTCCTTTACCAAAGCACAACACATTTTCAAGTCCTCTTCCAGCTCCACCAGTGTCCAGTCAAAAGAAATCCTTTCAGAGCCAGCAGCTCCTGAGAGAGGGTTAAGTCTTAAAAAGTCCAACATGACCTGTTTGAGTTAACAGCTGAGAAAACCACCTAAATATACTTTTCCTGATCTGACCATTATCATTATTATTATTATGTAGTTACTTTAGTACCTCAGGCTTATGTTCAGCAGAGGCTGAGCCACCTTAATGTTTACTCCCCGGTACAGGTCAAGCTCCAGAAACATGGATTGCACGCTCCCATAATACAGTTTGATAGCGTCTTTGGCCCCTTCCTGTATGGTGAAGACATTTTTCAGATGCCACACCTCCAGATTCGAATGCATGCTTTCTGTTAGACATCTATTCTTTCAAGATCACGCTATTCTCTCAGCCACCGATGATTTTCACAGTCAGTAGTACTCTTGAGGATGAGTAAAATCATCTTACATTGACCTGTCCCACTTTTTATAGAGCATCACGAACAACACATAACAATTTACAACCACGATTGCGTTATAAAATTAAGCAGACATTTAAAGACAGCAGACAGAACGAAGTGAATATTCAGTAAATTAAGTTAAAAAAAAGCAAAATAACTATATAAGAATGTACAGAAGTAGGGAGGGGTTTTCAGGCAGGCTTTTGCCAACTCATCATTTAGGCTGTGTCTTTACCTGTCCCACTTATTCTGACTAGTTTTCAGACTTAACTTTTCCTCAGTTACAATCGACCAGCCCAACTGAAACCCAGCTTTCATCTGTCAGAGACCAAACAGCAGTCAAACTGTGATTGTTGGCGACGCTCAGATATTAATCATCTATCTGCTCATTATTTCAGTCATCAAATGTACTCCCAACGTACTAGCTTTAGGCTACTTGAGTACTTTCTTCAAAATAAAGCAAACTATTTTACACCAGGGTAAAAATTATGAAACATAATAGTGTTTTCACCATTTGCTTTCATGTCAAATAGAAGACACAAACGAATTTATGGGCAACCAATCTGAAGGATGTTTAAAAGTATTGTTAGTAATGTGCTTATTGTGATTTTGTGTGTTTTTAACTTTATATTGATTGATTTCTATTATATGTTTATGTGCTGCTCTGTAACAGCACAGCAGGTGTAGGGTGTGATGTGAGCTCAGTGTCTTGTTATTGGTCATGAATGTTTGCATTATATGGCCAGATGACCTAATAAAGCAGGACCCACCTGAAGGCCCTTATCAGGTCAGTTGATACAATCTTGCATCTCCTCAGCACCGTGTCAGCATCAGTATCTGATCTGATTAATGGAGCATATTCACACATCGTCAGTAAAGCAGCACAAACCAGGTTGGTAATCCAGCCTTGCTTTAAACTGGTTCATCGTGGTGTGCTTCCTCGATGAATGTCATGGGTAAGAAATATTGATGAAATGTGTCTTATGAAAGCAGCAGGTGAAAGAGCTTTCCTTTGTTTGGAGCGTTTCCACAATGAGAATTAGAGGTTTTCATAGAAACTAAATGAAGAGGCTACATGTGATAGATGGACTTCAGCTTGTGTAGCTTCAGACTGGTGAGAAGCTGACAAGTATTTTCAGATTAAAGTCTGGTGAACAAGTTAGTTCACCAGACTCCAGCTCTGTATAATATTTCTTTACAGTGTTTATTGGAGGATGTCCCCACTAGATGTACTAGACAACTATGAATATAAGTGACTGTCGGATATGAATGAATGTATTAGTTATGCAATTTCTGTTGCATGTCAGGTTGAGAATATATCAGGTCAAGAATAAAACCCACAAAATTCAGACGGCAGCTGGTGTTTTTTACCCTCTGCGGCTCATGTTAGGACAGTTTCACAAGCAGGGAGAGAAATACGGTGCATTCAGGTGACGTAGAAACGTGAAAGTCTCTCTAGAGTCCATTTGGTTTGCTGTTCTACTGTAGAAACATGACGCCATGAAGAGGACCTGCTCCCTGGGTAAATATGAAGGGCTCACTCTAAGCTAACAAAAATACATTCCTAGTTTTAAGTCATTTTACACTAATGAAAACAGTTATGAATATTATATTCCATTTCTGCTACACGGTTCAGCCATACACTACGGTTGGAACTAGTCTGGTTTGCTCCTCTAGCCTCTCAGGTTTTATATCTCTCTCTCCAATAGCTGAATGTAGAATAAAATATGTATTTATTTCCATATCTCTATCCCTCCCTGTCCTCTGCTTGTCAGGACGGCCGCCTGACTTTTTCTGAGCTGCTCAACAAGATGGCCGACATCATGACCAGCAGCATCACCGACTACGGAGGGATGAGGGTGGACGAACATGATGAACTGTGACAAATGAACCACAGCACAGGAGGAAAAAGCTTTTTCACGGTGTTTTGTTGAATATATCTTGCTCACAATGATAGTGGGGACATCCCGTCTCGCAGCGCAGTCAAGTATGAACTGACCAATAAGAGCAGCTTGCATTCTAGTGGCACTGTAAACGTGCTACGGTACATGTTCAGACACTACGACCGGATATGGACACTGAATTTTATCTGTGAAACTACAAACAATAAAAACATTGGTTTCCATATGTTTATGGTTTAATGAAAACAACTTGAAACTCTCTTGAATTGATCCTAAACAGCTGACATCAATTCTATTAACTTTTGTCAAAATAACAATATCATTGTGTCGAATGATTTAAAAGTCTCAAATATATCAATAAAGACAAACAATGACTAAAGTAATGTGCAGTTTAATGCCTAAAACCGTAAGTAACTGACCATCACAGACATTAACAAACTCAAACGGTTACATGTATCTCGTCATCAGGATGCAACATTGAGGAGCTTTAGAATTACCAGCTGCACATCCTATGAAACTAATCCTGTGGCTCTGAACGTGAAATATAATTTGACTTTACTTATCTTTTGGAGCACATAGCAATAAATCAATGATCCATTTGATTCTACTCTCATGTAGAGCGTTATCGTTTATGCAGTGTTTCTGCTAAAAAGGGACAGGTTGAATGGTGAAGACCAGCTCTGCTCTATGAATGGAATCATTTGATCTTATCAGATCTGATCAGATCTTATTTGATCTTGGGAGACCAAAGACATAAACGGTACATCCTGATCTTATTAGTGAGCAGCACACAGCAGTAAAGGACCTGCTACTGTAAACGGGCTTTCAGACACAGATATCGAAGGAAAAATCTATGTTTTGAAAAGGTCAAATGACATTCAGGAGGGAAAGGAATTTCACAGTCTATGATGGAAAAAAGTTACCTACAGAAGAAACATATATGCCAGCCAACAACCAAGGCCATTAAAATGGGTGAAAGCTGTCGACACTCTGTCCTCCGTCTCATACTTGCATCACTGGACGAGCCTCTTTGGCCCGGAGGTCAACTCCAGACGCAGCGAAGCCGGTTCCACCCTGTCAGAACACACAACACACAACACAAGGTCATATCCGACTACTTTGGGAGACCAAAGACATAAACAGTACATCCTGATCTTATTAGTGAGCAGCATACAGCAGTAAAGGACCTGCTACTGTAAATGGGCTTTCAGACAGAGGCCATTATATGTCTCACTGGGTAATGTCCTCAGTGGACAGCAGCCGGGGGAAATCCCCACCCCCTCCCTCTATCCCCTCTCCATCACGTCAACAGCAACAACATGCTGTCTGAAAGCACCTCGAGAATCTCTTCGGTAGAATTCATGGAGCGATTCAAAATCATGGAGGACCCGGAGTCTCCCCCACGTAGAACTACACACGTACCCTCTGCATTGGTATGATGTCTCTGTCGGACAGCTTGTCTCCGGACACAGGATCAATCATGTCCTTCTTGATCAGCTTCTCCACACACTCCAGAGTCACCACCGTCCCTCTGAACACGGAACAGAGAGTCAGCTATGCTGCCAGAGAACACTGAACATGTGGACGTCAGAATGGAGGAAGACGTATGGACACTCACGAGGGGCGCAGAACAGCGCAGGGGACACTGTTGCCTAGGACGTCTCTGGTTACTGCACATACATACCTGTCCTAAAGAGACAAGACGGCATTATACCAATGACGTAGATCTGTTCACATCACATAGAACAGGACCGTGAGGGACCGTGCCTACTTTCTCAAATGGGATTTGCTGTTTCCCATCACCGTATCCACAACTATTTGGTTTTATGAGTTTAGAATTTCCACTATTTTTGCAGAATAAATTGTTTAGTTTATCTAAATTATCCAAGATGAATTGAAAACAGAATCCTCATTAGCCCGAATCAGTAGTGACTTGATCCTACTAACAATGTCTCTGATACCATCTAACTCTGTACTGTAGAGTCACAGTTTGTTTTGGGATTTGTTGACAATAAGAAAAATGTATTAAAACACCAGACCTATCCTTTTATCAGGAAACACACTGGCCATATGCACATCACTGTAGACAGACTTTCATCCACTAGATCACACTTTTGATTTTAGTGAGAAATAAACTTGAGTTGGCAGCTGTCAAATCACCGTCCTCTTTGTGTGTGCAGACAACAGACATGTGCGTTACGACATCACCAGACACTAGATTTGGTTTCAGTACAAGTAAAGTTCAGGAACACGACCACCAGATTAAAGTGCAAATGATTTGATCTTTGACCACCTCTGCTTTCAGGTTAAATTACTTGATTTAAGTTTAACACAACTCATCATCAAGTAGGTTTCACAGTTTGCAGTGTGTATGCAGTAATGTTTGGTGAAGTTCTTCTAAGTTAGTAACAATGATTATCTGCTCCTGGGTGCTCGTGGGCATGAGCTAAGATGTGAACTAAACTGACCTGGTGGGTGAGCAGGGCCACTCGATCCAGGCTGGAGTCCAGAGGGGTGAAGCGCACTGTGATCAGCTCATTCATCTTAATGGGTCGTCCTGACATGGGACACAACACAGCCTTACTCTGACAGGGAGAGAGAGAAAAGGAGACATTTAATTCCACATAACACTACTTCAGTGTAGAAGTGGAGAGCTGAGATTGCAGAAGACGGGTTTCCACAGTCAGCCTGCCTTCTGCCTTTAAAGTAGTGTCAACATCAAACAGACAGATACACAGAACAAACAGAGGACATCGTGACATTTAAAGCCAACAGGAGGGTGGGTGGACTGGTGGCCAGTCCACCCACCCCCCCACTACATATTTCAATCAAATTTCCTGAGTGTGAACAGTGGTGGTTTCTGGAGATACGACTCATTTTGGTCAATTTTTTTCCTTCGTAAATTTTAAAAAGCAGGTTTGCTTAATGCTGCTCAGAGAACATCTGGGGCCGAGGGAATAGTTCTTTGTAATCTATCTCGTGTATAACAGAGATGTCGTAGTTTGAATCTACGTTTTTCGGCAGATGGAAGGATAGACAAAAGCCCTTTTAACCAGTGGTGGGCCGTCAGGGCCTGCAAGGCCTTCTCTGCTGGCCTAAACAGAATCACAAAATTATAGCCATTTTATATTTTTTCTTAAATACACTACATGCATTATAATTTATAAAAATATTTTTCCCATTATCTTATTTTCTCATTGCACAGCTACTGTCTTCCTCAGTTGCTCTGCTTCCAGTGCAGCTTGTTTTAAGCAGAGCTTTTATCCAATCAGATCTCACCTCTGTGTCTCTAGGTAGAACAGAGGCCCGAGGCCTGCAGACTCACAAGTGAATCCCTTTGCAGTTTAAGTGAATGGGGACGATATTGTTGATTGTTATAGTCTTCAACCAATCAGATCTTTAGTTTGACATGTTGGGCGTATTCTTTGACGTGTCAGAGCCGGCTAGCTGGTCTACAAGTACGTCAGCATTACGTGCAGCTCAGTTTCCAGGTGCAGCTCTACAGTGAGGTGCAGCGTGCTGCGATTGGTCAGTGGGCGAGCACGTGACTATTGTGAAACGAAACTTAAAGTAGCCATCAGAGGATTAGTCAGAGTAGTGAGAGTTCAAATTCGAAGATATGGAAGAAATGATGACATTTTTTGCATGGTGTAGATTATTTTATTTTTATACATAGCTTTGTTTTTTTTTTTTAACACTCAATGGCTGAAAGAGGAGAAACAGATTTGTGGGTTGGGATTTAACCGTGGGATTAAACTCTTTGTCAACAAAGAAAGGAGGATGGAGTTTGTCTTTAAGTGAACAGCATTTGGTAAGTCAACTGCGTTTGTTTTTTTACATCTAATATCTGAATGGCCCTCGAGGGTGTAGCAGAATGCGTGTTGATGCAGGTCTGCTGGGTTGATTTGTTGTCATATGAATATATGTGACTGGTTCTTGTGAGTTTGTTGTTGTCATTGTGTTAATCATATAGATTTGGACTATATGCATTGTCCGTTAATTACGAAGCATACCGTCATGCGCCGAGTTATTGTTTGTTAAGCTAGTTTAGCGTAGCCTCCCAGAAGTGCGGCGCCTCAGCTGTCTTTTGTTTTGTTCCGGGTTCAGAGGTCACAAAGCCCGTTGTCTGCTACGTGAGCGCAGTCCACCGAAAACATTATATTTCCCACAATTTAAGCTTCTGCATTTTCCAAATGCACTAGTATTATTCAAACGTATTGTTCGGTTCGTAAGCCTCGTACCGAACGGTTTAATACGAATATGTGTAGTTACACCCCGAGAAACAAATAACTGTAGTTGTGGCGCCATCATGACGTTATTAGGAGGTGTTTCAGTTGCAGGACAGCACTTCAGTGCCAGGTATAAAATGCAAGGAGCGCCACTGCTTTTAAGACATGGAATATGTAACACTGCTGGCTTGATCGGTATTTGTCATCCAGACAGGTTTCTGTTAAATCTCCTGAAGAAATGCAATTTAATAATTACATACATACATGAGATTTGACCTCTGCATTTACAGTGGGTACGGAAAGTATTCAAACCCCTTTACATTTTTCACTCTTTGTTTCATTGCAGCCATTTGCTAAAATCAAAAAAGTTCATTTTATTTCTCATTAATGTACACTCAGCACCCCATCTTGACAGAAAAAAGCAGAAATGTAGAAAATTTTGCAAATTTATTGAAAAAGTAAAACTGAAATATCACATGGTCATAAGTATTCAGACCCTTTGCTGTGACACTCATATTTAACTCACATGCTGTCCATTTCTTCTGATCCTCCTTGAGATGGTTCTACTCCTTCATTGGAGTCCAATGTTTAATTAAACTGATTGGACTTGATTAGGAAAGGCACACACCTGTCTATATAAGACCTTACAGCTCACAGTGTATGTCAGAGCAAATGAGAATCATGAGGTCGAAGGAACTGCCCAAGGAGCTCAGAGACAGAATTGTGGCAAGGCACAGATCTGGCCAAGGTTACAAAAGAATTTCTGCAGCACTCAAGGTTCCTAAGAGCACAGTGGCCTCCATAATCCTTAAATGGAAGAAGTTTGGGACGACCAGAACTCTTCCTAGACCTGGCCGTCCAGCCAAACTGAGCAATCGTGGAAGAGCCTTGGTGAGAGAGGTAAAGAAGAACCCAAAGATCACTGTGGCTGAGCTCCAGAGATGCAGTAGGGAGATGGGAGAAAGTTCCACAAAGTCAACTATCACTGCAGCCCTCCACCAGTCGGGGCTTTATGGGGGAGTGGCCCGACGGAAGCCTCTCCTCAGTGCAAGACATATGAAAGCTCGCATAGAGTTTGCCAAAAAACACATGAAGGACTCCCAGACTATGAGAAATAAGATTCTCTGGTCTGATGAGACCAAGATTGAACTTTTTGGCGTTAATTCTAAGCGGTATGTGTGGAGAAAACCAGACACTGCTCATCACCTGCCCAATACAATCCCAACAGTGAAACATGGTGGTGGCAGCATCATGCTATGGGGGTGTTTTTCAGCTGCAGGGACAGGACGACTGGTTGCAATTGAAGGAAAGATGAATGCGGCCAAGTACAGAGATATCCTGGAAGAAAACCTCTTCCAGAGTGCTCTGGACCTCAGACTGGGCCGAAGGTTCACCTTCCAACAAGACAATGACCCTAAGCACACAGCAAAATTAACAAAGGAGTGGCTTCGGAACAACTCTGTGACCATTCTTGACTGGCCCAGCCAGAGCCCTGACCTAAACCCAATTGAGCATCTCTGGAGAGACCTGAAAATGGCTGTCCACCAACGTTCACCATCCAACCTGACGGAACTGGAGAGGATCTGCAAGGAAGAATGGCAGAGGATCCCCAAATCCAGGTGTGAAAAACTTGTTGCATCATTTCCAAGAAGACTCATGGCTGTACTAGCTCAAAAAGGTGCTTCTACTCAATACTGAGCAAAGGGTCTGAATACTTATGACCATGTGATATTTCAGTTTTTCTTTTTTAATAAATTTGCAAAAATTTACATTTCTGTTTTTTTCTGTCAAGATGGGGTGCTGTGTGTACATTAATGAAAAATAAAATTAACTTTTTTGATTTTAGCAAATGGCTGCAATGAAACAAAGAGTGAAAAATTTAAAGGGGTCTGAATACTTTCCGTACCCACTGTACATCCTAACACGGGGATCAGACCACCAACCTTCCATACATCAGACATCACAGCACGTTTACAGAAAGAGCCACCATGCTTAATCAATGAACTCAGTTCATCATTGAAGTTACATCAGAGGGAGCACCATTAGTGTCAGGGATCTGAGAAGGTGGTAACATCACAATACAAGCATCTCTCTCTGCATGTTTCACCCTGAGCTGCTGCAGTGTGACAGCATTCGTGTGTCGTGTTGAAGGTGATATCAAAAGGATTACCACCGTGACTTTAACACCAAAGTGACCAGGGTGATTACTCGCACATTAGACCAACATGTTGAAATCTGACCAACATAAAGGGGCAAAACTTTCACCAACTTCCTGCTAAAGAGACATAAGAGCACTCAGCTAAAGGGTTTTCTCTGACTTCAATCTCATTGAAAGACGTGTTATTTTTCCAGACAGGATTTAGCATCCAGCAATGGTTGCCCTGACATAGCGGAAGAAGACACTCACTGGCTTCTTGAGCAGGGTGGGCTTGGACACTGGTGTCAGAGAGGGGATCCAGAAACTGGGCAGGCTCTGGCTGGAAGAGGCGGCTGGACCAGCAGTGGAGGATTCTGCTGAGCTGCTGTCTGTCCTGCCCTTCTCACCTCCTTTGTTCAGTCCTGAAGGGAAGAGGTGACAGTTTCTACTCTCTTAATTCATTGTTGTAATTATGACTGGGAGCATGAGACAAGTACAACTTCATTTCATTGTGCAATCCTGTAATGACAATAAGTAATCCTTGAAGATGAAGACATGATGTCAAGGCTAAAGATACGGTTTCCTGTGTACATGCATTAATGCCAGATTATTTTTTATCTGCACCAAAAGTTTGCTTTTACTGCATCTGTCCTTCTTTCTAGGTTCTGGCCAACATCTATATTCAGTTTGACTGAGACAGTAAAATAACAATAGAGTATTTGACCTGGACAGTCAGTGTCATTGTGAAGAGGACCACTGACATTTTCAGCAAACCGATATAATGTAGTTTGAGCCAACTTTCCCTTTTTTAATTTAAATTGATGGAAGTTGAAAAATAAAGAGACGTGTTTCAATGTGTTGTATGCCATTTGAGCTGCCTTTCCCTGCACAGTAATGTCCAGTGAAACTACTTACTCATGCTCAGTTTCCATATGGAAAGTGCATTGGATTTCTGCAAAATACTCGTTTTATAATATTAGGCGGCATCACACATTCAAACAACACCTTATTAATATACGATGTGCAACATACTTTTTTTATTTAGTAAATAAAATGTGAGAAATGATTATGTCAACTAAACTAAAGTAAGATGTGTAACATTACTGTTTGGCATCTTGAAACACCACCCGTCATGTAATCATTTCCAGAATTTACTACATGATTTCATCTCAGAAATATTCATCTTTGATCCGTATATGTTGGGGTTTAGCCTTTCAGAATCAGTTTTCACTGTGGACAAAAACTGTTTGACTTTTTGTTCAAGAACGGTAGTTTTTATTTTTACAGTTTTTGTATGCTTTTCTAGGGAGGCACACACCTGTATTAGCACCATTAATTACATTTATATAACCACAATAACAAAATCATATTTTCCCATTTGTAATGCAAAAAAAACGATCATTCGACAAATTAGATTTCTGTGTCCACCCTACTCTGAATATAATGTGATCTGTGTCACATGAGAGCAAAAAAAAAAGAGCAAAAAGAGTGTTCAGAGACACTGACGCAGCATTTTGAGGACAAACGGCACACACACGTACCAGATGTGAATGGGTTGATGGGTTTGGACACAATGCTGTTCTCTCTGGTCTTAAACCGCTCCACTCTCTCTCTTTCTTCTGACTTGGACTCAAGTTGGCTGCTGCTCTTCTGCGCCTGCTTCTGCTTCTCGTACGCCTGAAGAATTAGAAGAAAACGCATAAGAGAGAATTTTTCAGAAAGAAGCAGCAAAAATTGAAGGGAATTTATCTGTATAAAACAATGCATTAAGAATTTTTGTGACAAAAAAAAAAAAGAAAAGGTGATGAACAACGTAACTTCAACACATTATTAATACAGAGAACTGTGGCTGATGAAAGCTCTTTCTCAACCAAAATTGGAACTTTTCCAAAACGGCCTCCAGTCTGCCAGTATTACGCTGGCTTAGTGTTTCAGTGCGTGCGGGTTGGAGGGAGTTTTGGTAAAACAAAGACGTGAGCTTCCAAGTGACGGTCAGGGGATGTGTGCCAGTAGAGTCAAGGAGCAGCAATGTGCTAACTTTGTCTATGATCAAGCATCTGATCAGTCAGCATAGCTCTCAGCTGTATTCATGTTCAATTCATCAGACAACCGCTTGACCATGAAATAATGACGTGGTCTGTGCCAGTCATTGCAAGTTGTTGTCTGTGATGCAGTTTTGTAGTTTGAAAAAACTGGAAAGGGGGTGAAGAAGAAGAGTTTTCTGTTGTTCAAGTGTCCCACTGTGGGCACACGTCTCTACAAAAACAACCTTGAACAATAGTGTGGACACAAGTCAAGTCATGAGATGGTGTAGACAGAAGTACAGGGCTTACCTTCATCTTTTTGGCAGTTTCTGTCTTCTGGTGCAAAATGTATTCAAGAATGGCCTGTTTTTCATACATGAATCCATCTGGACTGAGCCCAGCAACAGAAACAAGACAACACTGTTTACATATGTGGTCACATGTCAGGGATATACAGCTCATTTGTGTGTTTGAATGTTAACATACGTCATCACAGGATCCTGACAGGGCTGCAGGGACAGACAGCAGCAGTCAAAGTCTTTGATCGCATCTTTGCCCAGTCGAATGCTCTGAGTCCCGTAACCAGACGCCGCTGAGCAGGAGGAGAGGCACACACAACATGGTGTAATGGAAGATAAGACAGGAATTGCTGTCCAACAATGAATGAATTGCCTTCGTTCTGCCTGCAATATCATTACAGTCAGCTCCACACAGTGAAATACATTCGTGTGACGTTAGATACATTTCTAATTTAATCAACTTCTCATTGTTTACATTTATTTACCTAAAAATACTAGACTAATAGTTTGACTCTAAAATGAAAGTTTGTGTTTGAAAAGTCCGCCAAGCTGATCTTTGAGTGTCATTAGGACGACTACACATTCAGACTGTTAATCATTTTTCTGTTCAGGAAAACTGAAGTGAGAAACATAAAATAGAAATAGGGCCTTCAAAAAAGTCTTTGTTCTACTAGCTGAGATGCCACCTGCCTGTCAGGACTATGTAACATTCATACTCCGCAGGAACAGCCTGCAATCAGGGTTAAGCGTCTTGCCCAAGGACACATCGACATGGACTAGTGGAGCCGGGGATCGAACCTTCTTTGATTGAAGGACGACCCTGCTCTACCACTGAGCCACAGTCGCATGTAATGGACACGTCCACAAAGAAATCATTTATGGTAGTTCAAGAAAAACATGAAACTATCTAGTCAGGTGAACGATGGGTACTTTTCTTTCACTGTAGAATAGGACCGCTTGAAGGCCTCACTAGACAAATGAAGCAGCATCTTAAACAGAGAAGACTGAACCGAGTGAGAACATCTGTCGGACGTAAAACGATGTCACACACAATAAATGAAACTACTGTCAGTGTGTGGCTCAACGTATCATTGAGGAAGATGAGTTTCTGCCTTGAAACATGAGAAACTCAAACATTGTTCTGTCCTCCAGACACACAGGTGGAGGAGCTGCTTTAAGTGGCCAAAGCAAGCCTGTTCCAACAGGAAATATAGGAGCGTAAACGAGCTAACGCTAAATGTAAGTCAACAGTTAAAGAAAGCTAGCTTGACAGGTTCTCACCTGTGTCTTTCCTTTTCTCGTGGTACGTGTAGACAGCTCCAGCCGTACAGTTCTTTCCATGGCGCGTCATTGTACTTCTACTTTATTTTGCTGGTCTGTAGGCGTTTAAAGAGAAATGTGGTGTTATTGTAGCAGGGAGCATCGATGCTAACATTAGCTGCTAAATGTGTACATACAAAAGACATGCACAGATTGTGTTCAGAAAACGTTGCATTAGAAAAAGACAAAAAAAAAAGAGTTGTGGCTAGAGAACAGATTAACAATTACGTTACCAGTGATGCTTGTGTAAGTTTACGAAGCAAGCACCAAAACATCGACACAACTTCTTCTTCGTCGTCGCCTTCTACTGCTTCCGCTCACTCCACTTCCTCCTCCTCTTCTTCTTCTTCTTTTGCGTTTTATGGCAACTGGCATCCTTCATGTCGCACTACTGCCGCCTTCTGGTTTAAATTCTCCTAATGTCCCCTTACCGTTGTTGTATCAAGACTGTTTCCCTCTCGATGTGTGTTTCCCACTATACTGTATACTGTAAACCTAAACCCATAGCCTAAACCTAACCCAACACGGAGGGGGTGTGCTCTATAGCGGTAATGATGGTTCAACCTTCACCTTCACCCTCCTTACTGTAAGAAAAGAAACACAAGGCAATATAAACAGACACAAATGATTAGGATTTTAAAAGAGTGACACAAATGAGATAGAAGATAAAGATGAGTTAAAATAAAACAAGACAAATCAAACAGTATAGAAAAAAACGACAGGGCTGAATTTGAATGAATGGTGCCAGGTTTCGTGTCGTAAATTGCAGTGGCAACGTTTGCACTCCTGATTTAAAAGAACTGAGAGTTTCAGATATGTGGTGCATTAAAATTGAATGCTGCTTCTCCTCGTTCAGCTTGGTCTCTGGGGACGGTAAGCAGACCTGTCCCAGACCATCTGAGAGGCCTGGACGGTTCAGTAGCAGAGCAAACCAACAGGGAAAGTTCATTCTTTCACACTTAGGAAGCCAGTGCAAAGATCTTAGAACTACACGTATGTGATCTGGAATCCAAAACCCTTGTAACTCAAAGGGTTCAATGGGTATTTGGTTGCCATTATGCTGAACTGAATACACAAGAAAAATATTGTGTTTTACCACCATATCAGATTGTGTTCCAAAATGTTCCGTTTAACACATGAGCTAACTACAACAGTTAATTCATGTTTTGTAAATCTCACTGTAGTGTTCACAACAAATATTTGCAGGAATGCTCAAAAGAAGTGTGAACCTCACTGTGAGCCGAAAACATTTCTCTGAATGATTTTTGCTTCTATAAACACAGACTACGTTGAACATTATTATGCTAAGAGCTACAACAAAAGCAGTGAACCATTCCTTTAAGGACACCATCAGAACTGTCTTCCATTTGTAAAATGTCAATGTGTGTTTAAGTTCAAGGATTATCATTACCCATTACTCAATGGGTAATGATAATGTTACCTTTTGAAATGGAAAATTTAATTATCAATTTTTTAACCGTCACACTCTTGATCCTCCCCCAAAAAGTCCTTAAATGTATGACACTATAACATACTATGTTCTGTACTGTTGTGGTGCAAACAAAGTAAACCTTTCAGACTTAAGAAAACATATTTTGAATGGCTGGCTGTTTTTTATTTTTGTGATATTAAATAAAAATATTCAAGCTGCCATGTGTCATTTGAAAACCTTTTCTCAAAGTTGAGCGTGACATCTATATTTGGGCCCTTCTTTTGTGTATGTGCATCAGGGACATCAGTAAATGATCAACCTTCAGGTTGCTGGTAATAAAACTAGCAGGGCCTGTGTTTCCCGTACAAGTACTGTTTATTTCTGTGTCTGAACAGCAGCATTTCCTGCCTATGTGACTGTGGATTTCCTGTGAGCACACCCCTACACCCACTGCACATACAGCTCCAACTAACAGATGCACAGAGTGAACTGCTGCTGGCCTAACAGAACATGCTTGCTGCTTGTAGGAGATATCATTCATGTGGAAATGACTGTTGACCTGCATACACTTTTACATAAGTAGAAAATAGACTGGTTCAAGGCACCTGAGTGCTTGCCTTGGTTCATCAGTCTACTACAGTGGAAAGGAACCAAAAAACATTAATGTATTTCGAAGTATGAATTTGTGTTTTGTCAACAAAATGACAGAATAAACAAATTCTGAGAAAAACTAGACTCTTGACAAACATAATCAGGAAAGAGCCCCATCTTCTTGCACAGATAAACAAAGTATATGAAGTCCCTGTTGACCCTGCAGTTATCATAGCAGCAGTTCCACTACAGACCATACAAGGTCAGATTCAGGTTGTTGGGTTGCTATGGTGGCACAGTTCATAAAGTCCAGAGTTAATGATGTGGTGAGGGTGGTAAAGGATGCTTTAGCAGATAATAAGTGGGGCTAGACCTCCTCCATAAACAACTATCCCCCATAGACAGCCCGCCCAGCAGTTATCAGGAGCAATTCTCTCTATCTGCACTCTTTGAAGATGAGCCTGTCTCTATCGCTCCATCAGCACCCAGCCCACTAGCTCGCCATCACTTCCCATCCTGACGCCTGCTGCACATTCTTTCTGCGTTCAACACAAATCAGCTTTATTGGCACCAACTAATCAAGAACAGATCAGGGATAGCACACATTTTTCCACATTTTTAGAAAATCTGCAAAAGAAAATGTGAATGTATGCGTAATTCTGTGACGCTGTCATGACTGTTATATGATTATTAGGATTTGGTTCATTGAGATAAGCAGTAAGGGCAGTCGGGTGCCATCGTCGTCATCATAACGAGATGACGTGATAGAAAGAGTATCAGTCAAGCACCAAATGGTGGGAAAAAAGTAGAGAACCTGATGTAAATATGTAATTTTTCTTTCATGGATCAATTTGAGGAAGGTTACAGTCTCCTTATCGTTCTACGCGTATCCTATGTTTTTGTTTGCATATTTAAATATTTTTGATTCTATGGATCATTAGTTAGCCTGCTGTAATATTAGTTCCATGCAAGTTGTCAGTTGTTTATGCTTAAAGGGGCAATGTGTATTTCTGGCCACATGCTCCAAACAAATATGGGGCATATAATCATATAGAGAAGCAAACTATTAACAGCAGGGCAAGAATAGCAACACTCAACCAAACAGCTGAAAGAGTTGGTCAAAATAACACCATCTAATAACCTTCACATGTGGTGTTTGCCTAGCGTTTATGTAGCCTGTAGTCTTTCTTTGTGACACCAGGGGCCTGTGCGGTCTGTGTACATCTTGATACTTTGTTTGTTGGATACAATCCAAAGAAGAAGAAACGTGAAAGCGGACTTGTATTTTCGTTTTGTCCTCTGTGGCGCCAGGAGACTAGTTCGCCTGGAGGGGTGTGCAGCAGCTCAGGTGGATGGACCTTCAATTAGCAGTCAGCTGTAGAAACACGCATTCCCAGCACCGGGTCACAGGGGGCCGGTGGAGCGCTGGGTCTAACCTGTTTAACAGCAGCAACAAAAAGTTTGCTGATCCGACTGGAAGTCAAGGCGGTCCCCCTGGATCAGACCCCAGGCACTGAGGATGCTGGCTGCAGAGAATGTGAGTTGCTACAGCTAACCGCTAAATGAAGGTCCATCTTCCTCCTCCCACTGAAGTTGTCTCCTGGCGGCAGAAGGACGGAACTGAAATACGGGTCTTTCTCATTTCTGCCACTTTGTCCTCATGTTAGACTGAGGACAGACCGGATGCTGCAGTGACTCACTATCGCCTCTCGAGGAACAAGTATTAGAAGACGGCTAGGGCTAGCTGGTTAGCATGCTCATTTCAGCAGGTATCTCTGCAGCACAATACATAGTCGTCTTTAATATAATGTCAACACTGTAACCTCTTCATCTTCTGTTGATTCTGTGAATTCACCTTTTGAATGTTTTAAACTAAAATTCTGACCTCTTCTTTTCTTGTACATTTCCCTTTTAACATGAATACTGCCTGCACACATCAGCTAGCTCACATGCTGCGCAGCCCCCTCTCCTAACATGTTCCATTCGCATGATGAATATTGTTATTAAAGCTGCAATGCAGAACTTTAACATACAAATGTACATCCATCACATCCAAGCCCTTGTCACATTAGTTCACACAATGATGACGAAGCACACAGTATTTTGCAGTATATCTGAGTTATGGTGTCTGCGGCAACTTTTCCCGCGCTGGCACATCAGAAGTGATGCATTTTCCGTACACCAGCCAGAGTAAACGGGACAGGAAGGGACGAGAGACTGTAGCGACGGTGCAGCAGCTAAGAGGATGGCAGAAGCTATGGTGGAAAATACTCAGAACACTTTTCTTAGAAAAGGTTCTGGAGTGAATGCTCCAGATACAAAATTAACTCTGTGGAATAAGAACAAAGACGAAAGAAATCTCACAGGAAGTCTTGAAGACAGTGGTCCTGGGGGCTCTTATGAAGGCACCCATCATTGTCCAGAGGGGGAGACAACATTTCTGATCTCCAGCTTTAAAGCCTCCGACATAGTTTCTGTGATGCGGCTGTGGGCTTGTACTGGTTAGCACGGTGTTACATTTATACTACAATTGAGGCGTGCATTTGTATTTCCTGATCCACGCTTTATTCCAGGTGCACCATAACATTGTTTGCCAGGAGTTCAACTCCATGTGGCTGTCTCTGTATTCTTTTAAATCAACCTCTCTCTTCAAAACAAGCCTGTATTTATGTTTCTTCTTGGTAAAGAAGACTGCAGTGTGGAATGAAACTGGCACGCATGCTATATGTACAGTCTGCACAGTCACTAATTGTGGACTGCACACAGACCTCATAGGATCCATGCGGACACGGGTGGATGGCAACATTTAAGTCACGCTGACTAAGTCCATTTCTACTTTACATGTGTAAAGTATAAATGGATTTAAAACGGACTAAAAAAAAAAGTGAACTCATCCTTTAATACAGAGTTGGCAGCAGGGAGTTTGCTAGTCAGCCTTTGCCTGATATGTGATCTGTTAACCTGTAAGATGAACTAATACCTGAGGACAGAATGGAGCATGGTCCTCAATACAGAGATGTGAGTGCTTCTATCAGTAACCAGTTCCACACACTGACTGACAAACTGAATGATGTATCAGTGAGACTTGACACGAATCATACAGTACAGTGACGAAAATATGGCCAAGTAAAGTGAGTTTTCATTTTTAAAATCAATAAACATAACATCTGCATCTCTTTATCTCGCCCTGTCTCATTCCCCCCCCCCCCCCCCGTGGTTTTTGGGTGTTTGTTGTTAGTTTCCTGTCACAGAGGAAGTGCCTCACCCTGCCGCCTGGCTCCCTATTGGCTCCAGATGAACAGTGATTTTGGGGGGCGAGAGAGTGAGGAGGGGACGGGGCAGCACAGAAGGATAGAAAGAGGGAGCAGGAGGAGGGAGACAGGCACAAGAGGGAGCTGAGGACAGAAGTCTGCCGATGAGTGCAGAGAAAGCTCCAAACAGATGAATGAGAGCTGGAGAGAGCAGACGCTTCACTGCAAAGAGGAAATGGCTTGTGTTGGAGGAGGTAAGCATGAAAACAACAACGCAACAGAGGAATAAACTAAATGTATACTCATTGGTTTTCCTTTTTTATTTATCTCGTGTTTAATGTAATTCTTCATTAAAAACAAACATGTTAACCAGTCATTTTGCCTATTACAGAGTTCCAAATATTTTGAAAGTAACTTGCTATTTTTTCACTAGTTTTAACAAGTAAGATATTTTGAGGATTCATAAACTGACTTGATGACTTGTTTTAGTGTAATCTCATACTTCTAGTGTGCTGCCAGTCCTCTTTCATGCCTTTCTTGGTCTGGTCACTCCCAATCCTTGTACCAGTGTCTTGGTACCACAGTGACGCTGGACAGGTTTGGGGGGGGCTGTGCTAAGGACTGCGGGTGCTGTGTGAAGCATTATCTCCTGCTGAGTCTTTCCTTTATCATTGATATGTCTCTCTGCATTTGCAAATATGATTTCGAAACGATGTATATTTTCTGTTATGCTCTTTGAAGTTTTGTCCAAACATTACCGTACTAGTAAAGTTAGAGGGTGGTGTTTGTGACGGATGTCTCTCTTCCTCTCTCTCTTACTATCACCGTGATGGTATGGTGTGGAAAATGAATTTAACATTAACGCAGAGAGGATATTCAGAATGCAATCAATAAATGAATAAAAAAACAAAAGATCTTTGCGTGTTTTTCATGAGAGAGATTCACATCAAACACTCTTCATCAGGACTCTGTGGTTGAAGGTGAAGTAAATTGATCCTGCTACAATCCTGAGGTATTGTCTCTATATATGTTCTTGTCTTGAGTGCAGTGTAAATATGACAGCTTTTATGTCACTTGTTTTTATTGCAAATAGTTCAGAACACATGTAATGTAAACTCAATGAGCAGACAAGACATCCACTTGATAATGCACCTCATTTCCCGAAGTCACAATTTCAGTCATAATTCATTGAAAGCTGTGGAAAGTTAAATCTTGTTAATTTTGCATGGTTTATGTTATGTATTGTCCAAAACATTTCTGTTACAAAACATAATGTTGATGTGCAGCTTGGTTTGAGTCTGACAAAGAAAAGCTCAGCTGGTGCAGCAAGCCGCTTCAGCACACTAAGTCCTGATTAGACCCTCCATAAAGAGTCCTCACTCTCTCATATTCCTGAATCCACTGACAGGATGTCATGGTCCACATGAGCAAGTGCACTTTGATTTACTGTGCTCTGTGTTTCATTTGGCTTTTTATATTTAGCATGGGCCTATTCAATTGTTTGTTGATTGGTCATTCTGTGATTTAATGATCTGACTGTAAGCCTTCATGATAATAATAAAGTTGAAGTACATCTGGCAGCAGGGCCTTGATGCATAATACTCTGAGACAGTTTAAGATGAAAGTTCTGTATATGTAATAAAGGCACATTTTGGAGACACATTTACAGTATGAAGCAGTGCAACACATGGTTGTGTTTTAAAGATCTCTCCACAGACACTAATGAAAGTAGACATGCCCTTAATCACATCTGCACGTGCTGATCTGATATTTACCGATATAATATATGTCAGTCCTTTTGCACCTGTTGAAAGAAATACTTAGTATTTAAGGGCAGGAACAGACCGGGTCCTGTGATCCAGGGTGAGTAATGTGAGCCTGTGATCAGCCTGCAGGTTGGCAGGCAGGCCAACACAACAGACAGAAAGGCCTGGAGGGACATCTAGTGGAGCATTGTTTCTACTACACCAGGCATTCGGCCAATCCCATTGTAGCTCATTCACTATGGCAACAATGTGTAAATGTTGTGTAATGTAGTTTGTTTTTACTGTTTGGTGATCATAAACTTACCATATTCATAACAACTCAGAAAAGTTGTGTTTTTCAAACATAAATCGAACTGCCTGCCTTCATATAAAAATAAGTCAAAGGAATTTAAAGAGCGCGTCGTGATTTTAGGTTTTTCTTTAAAACAGAATCTCTAAACAAGAGGCAGAAAACGAGAAATTGAAACACACTAGCTCCGCGTTTATTCATTTATCATATTCATTCGAATGTCCTCCTCGTCATAGGCCCACTCTCTTAATATCCCTACATTATGAATCATGTGTTCCCCGTGAGAGGACCGGGTATCGGTGTGACGCCCCTCCCCGTGCTCAGGACCGTGGAGCTGCGCACACAGACGGGACAGAAGACAGCGTCGGTCCGGTCGAAACTCGCCGAAACACACAAACGAGGTACGAAGACGTTTGATTTGAGTTGACCTCCGTCTGTCCACGATGTGTTCCGCTCTTTAGCGGCGCTGGAACGTGTTTGTGAACTTATCAGGAACTCTTTCCGTGATGGTTGAAGAGTGTTGTCTTCCCACAGAAATCCCTCCGGAGATTCATTGTAGCCGTCGTTGACACCGTCGGTGGTAATTATTAGTTAGTCCTGAGTAGGAAACTCTTCACATGAGTTATGAAAGAGAACGCAGTCGTGTTGGTATTTCCTGGTGTTTATGGCGGGTCCTCGCTGACCGGTTCCCGTCCCGGTCCCGTAACCGCTTCCTCCTTCTTCTTCTTCTTGACTGGTTGGATGCGTCCCTATATTGTGACGCTTAATTACCATTCAGGGTATCCTGTCTTAATCTACTCGTTATTACCTGCCCTTGTTGTTTCCTACCTACTCCATACTGAATGTGAATGTGAATGTTTTGCCTGCTGCCGCTCTGTCTTGGTTCTCTTCCATACAATGCCTTGTCCTTGATTATCAAGTTAAATATATAGATATCTATCTTTTCTTTTTTAACAGCTTGTTTGGCAGGTTCATCCTCTCCCTCATTACCCAGAATTATCAAATAAGCAGCAGTGCCTTGTCTTGAATGAAGGATTATTGGATGCACCTGACTCAGTCTCTGACGTACAGAGCAGAGACTGACTTTGATTTGAAAGCAAAAGTAACTTTCATGGATAAGTTTCACACTCGTACCACACTTGCAGAAATGCACAATACCTTGTGGTTAAAGCTGTGAAACGATTGGTAAGGTTTAGGCAAAGAAACTTCTTGGTTAACGTGAGAAAAAAGATCATGGTTTGTGTCAAAATAGTAACGCACCTACACAACGTAATGATCATAACAATGTAACATCCTTCAATAAATAACAACAGGACTTCAGTAACAATAGAAACAACGTCAGCAAGTGTAATCTCAGCATCTACTTTTGGTTTCACTAGTGACACGAACACCAGTCTGCTGGGTGAAAGTCCTGTGTTTGTTTGACCCATCCACCACCTGCCTGTGATGTTTTCTGTCAGTTGTAATGCCCAAATGCAAAAAGGTCTACATCCAACGTATCCGTGGTTTGTAGAAATGCTTTTTCCTGGAGAGGAGGTAGAGCTATACCCACCACAGAAGTTTGTTCACATACTGTATTTCAACTCCACTCGGAGCTGCACTGCAGGACCTGTCTTGCATTATCTGTTACTGGATCTTTTGATCCATCTTCTTCCTTGAGAGCTTCATGTTCTGGATTTTGTTTGCTCACGGCCTGGTGAGCAAACGGTATGTCCTTTTTATCCTCCCTAACATTGTGTTTTTGTACTGTAGGCTATCATATGATGAAAATGATCACTTATTTTTATTATTCAAAAGGTCCATTTCTGTTTGTATTCATGGTCTCATTATGGTACGGCCTTCCTTGTTATTTTGCTTTCACTCTACTGGATCTTATTTTATAATCAAGAGTTCCTTCGATCTTACTAGCATTAAGATGATTCACTCTCTTCCTAAAACTTCTCAGTTGGCTTCCCCATACACTGTCCACTTCTGTCACTGATGCATCAGTGTTTATTTGACACAAGAATGGATAAAGTGTCTCTACCTACGGGTCCATCTTGGTGTACTCTCCAGTCACATACTACATACATCATATTATATGAAAACAATGTAAGATCAAGTACAGACTCCTTTCCAACCCCTGTTCATTTACACACACTAAACTCCTCTCATATAACAGATAATCGGTACCTGCCCATTGCCATGTTATGTGCGTTGAAGTGCTCCCAATGTATTTCTTTAACCACTAATTCCTTCCTTCCACACCACATCATACTCCAGTCCATTTCATATACCCAGTGCTCTACAGGGAACCCTTTATTCAACAAAAGTGACACAACCCCCTCCTCCCTAATCTCTTCTATCTTGCCTAACTGCCCCGAATAACAAAAGCTGTCTTTGAGCCATGATTCCTGAACACACACCATGTGTGTAGTCTCCCTCCTACTGTCAACCTATCACTGTTTTAACAATGATTGGAATCTTTTCATAAATAGGGTTAACATTTAAACTAACAGTTATCACCAGTTAATTACTGACATTTAGACAATTATTTTTTGTATTACAAGTTTTCTGAAAATGTATTTTAAATATGCAAATGAGGCCTATTCTTATTAAATATGTGATGGTTTGCATACATTTCCAGAAATCAGAACGTTAGTTAAAGCCAGGTTCAAATTCTGGTTTCATTTTGTTGACATATTAGAGTCAAAGGTTTTGAAAGAGGGAATATCTCTTTGTATCACATAAATCAGAACATACTGTCAACAGACATAATTAATACTGGCCATGTTTTTAGGGATAAAATGTATAAATCAGGGTATGAATGATAAATGTACTGGAGAATATAGATAGGAATTTAAGTGGAAAGTTTGGTGGATGTAAGTGCTGAAGTGGAGAAAAAAACACATTTTATAATGAGAATAAATTAAATGTTAACATTCTATTAAAGCTTGTTTTACTACTTTGTGCAGTCAAAAATTCTGGTAAAGAATTTCTGGCCACCATTACTAGAGAAGGACTGTTCTAGGTTTCTATAAGCTACACTTTCTCTGGAGATTAAGTTATTATGGTATTTAATACAGACAAAGGAGTAATGCTCCCTTATCTACTTTACACCTAAAGTACCAGTGTGTCGGATGTGGGTCTATTGGCAGAAATTGAACATAATATTCATGGTGGGTGCTGAAGGGGGAAGTAGGGAATAGGGAAATAGTCTTGTGGGCCACACAAGAGAGGTCAATTTAGAATTATGATTGTTATTACTTGTTATTAATCTTTAAGGTTAAGTGACTGAAATGCAAGCACAAGGAAACACCAACAAGTTCTTTTTTAGTTACACATATGTAACTAATACTACAGTTATAAGTACTAAGCACCACAACATTTTACAAACGGATGTCAAATCTGTGGTACAACAGCTAAGTTCTGAATTGTCCATTGACGTTACAAATGATTAAAAAAAAAAACAGGGTTTTAAAGCAAGTGGACGGAGGCTTTATAGGAATGTTTGGTTGCTCCCTGAAGTGGCATCTCATGGAGAAGGGGTTAGATGTCTGAAGTCTGGATTTGAGAAGGTTCCCATTGGAAGAGAGCTCCTGGTTGAGGCTCTCCTAGATTTCATTCTTAACTCATGACGTTCACCTCCTTTTGTTCCGAAATACATCTGCAGACGAGCAAAGAGCGAGCTTCCACCAAAAAGAGAGCAAACAGTTTTCTCAAAGTATGCTGGGACTTTTACAACAGAGTATATTTCCTGTTTGATTCATGCAGCTATAACACAGTCAATACTTCAAAAAGGCTTTAATCACATTTGTGTCTGAAAAGAATATTCAAACTATAAAAACTGTAATATTTTGGATACATTGCATAGCCCAGGTTTTATTAGTGTTGTTGGTGATCTTATTTACTAAATGTGTGCCATCACTGACAGCGGTAAGAAGGTCTAGAATTAAAGGGAATGTTGACGGACTGGATTATCTAGGTGTGTTTGTTTATGTTTGTTTTACTTTCACTTAGTTGTGGAAAGAATGTTTCATGAAGCTTGATTATTAATTCAACCCTTTGCTTTTCACTTTGTGGATTTCCTCAAGACAAGTTCTACAACAACCAATATTTCATACTTGTCCACTGGAGGTTTTTGAAGTTTATTGATTGTTTTCATTTCACTTCATTGATTTCTATTTATTTTAGTATGGTATGAAATGCAATTTGTGCAGACTTGACACTGACTCCAGCTGAAATCAATCTCACAATATAAAGGCATTTTCTAGCCCTAGTGGTATAGCCCTATAGCGATGGATGGATCAGTCCAACATGTTGCTCCAGACTGAAATATATCATCAAGTATTGAATGGATTACCCAGGAGACAACCTTCATTTCTTAAAAATGAAACCAATGCTGGAGGGCCTTAAAGCTGCATTCTCTCTACTGTCCACCAGGGGGCGACTCCTCTGATTGTATAGACATCTATGAGAAAATGACTCTACTTCTCTCTTGATTTATTACCTCAGTAAACATTGTAAACATGAGTTGATGGTCTCAATCTCTAGTTTCAAGTCTTCTTCAATACAGCATGATGTTCATTTAGTAAATTATGGTCCATTTAGAGTCAAACAGACCATAAAGCAGGGGATGCTTTAGGGCGGGGCTACACCGTGATTGACAGGACGCTACCAGAGTCGTATACGCCGTCTCTACATCACTCTACATGACCATATTTGGATTTCGTAGTCCAAATATGACCTCACAGCAAGAGGGACCCGGGTTCGATCCCCGATCCCGGGTGGTCCTTCTGTGTGGAGTTTGCACGTTCTCCCCGTTGCAGCGTGGGTTCCCTCCGGGTTCTCCGGCTTCCTCCCACAGTCCAAAGACATGCAGCTTAGGTTATTTGGAGACTCGAAATTGCCCGTAGGTGTGAATGTGAGCGTGAATGTTTGTCTGTCTCTATATGTGCCCTGCGATAAACTGGCGACCTGTCCAGGGTGTACCCTGCCTTCGCCCAATGTCAGCTGGGATCGGCTCCAGCGCCCCGCAACCCTGAATAGGATAAGCGGTTTGGATAATGAATGAATTAATGAATGAATGAAGTCCAAATATGGTCACTTCCATTTACTGGTTGCAAAAAAACAAGATGGCGACGGCCAAAGTTCCAAACTCGAGGTGTCAAATGGCAGTCAACCAACCAATCTCCACTTCTTATATACAGTTTCTGGGATTACCATGAATTGGGTTATTATTAGAATTCATCTTGAGGATAATTATTATGTGTACCAAATTTCATGACAGTTTCTTCAATAGTTGTTGAGAGATTTTACTCAGAACCACAGATGTGACCTCACAGTGGCACTTGAGTCCAGAGTCAGTACAATACATCCTCTGGGGACTATGTATTGTTCAATAATCAGAATGAATGACTTTAATCACTAACTAAACACACTGTACATAGCTTTCATTTATTTCTGTATCGCAAAAGCTATGACCCCAACTCATCCACATCCCCCATTTCATACATAGAACCTGACTGTGATTGTCAGCATTGGTTTTACCTGAATAAATAATGTGCTTTTAAAATACTTTTCTCTGTGCTCTACTTTATTGTGCTCCAGGAAAACCCCAGAAAACAAAAGGAGCTATTGAATCTTTGAATCATTTGTTAAGTTTAATTGCCAGTGTTGCTGTTTGGTTGACCTGTTCAGTAGTCTTTTTCCTGTTAGTAAAAATTGGCAAAATACATAGATTTCTGTTTTTTTTTTTTTTTTTCTTGTATGCTAACTGAAAAAAACCCAGTAGAGTAGGAAAGCATTTAGTATACTGCACAAAATATGAATTGTTCTGTTCAAAACATTAGCCAGTACAAAACACTTATCATTTCTTGTATTTTGAGGATGGCTCTCACTTAAACATCAGAATAATAAAAGGACGTTTTGTTTCACCTTGTGTTAGTGATGTCAGAGTCTGCAGGCCGCCCTTCCTCTGTCTCCTCCGTCTCTTCCATCTCTCTGGTGGAGGTCAAGGCTGAGACTCATCTAGTGATCCAAGCTTTCCTCCATCGAGCCCTCGCCATCCCCTTGAAAGAGAGGCCTGGCACAGTCGGAGGGGCCTACAAAGAGCACAGCAAGTACAGGTAATGTAGCTCAACAATCTGGGCTTCTGCTCTTGTGTGTTTTTTGTGTCACTGTTCTCAACAACACACTTATCTCCTTTTACCTCAGACTGGACACTGATGTCAAAAAATGATCAAAAAGATTTGTAATCACAGCAACATTAATTCTATTTCCTCATTCAATATGTGAATATACATGTTTTCCATTTGTTTGATAGTTTCACACCCTGTGCAGAAAGCAGGAGGCGCTGGATGCTGTGTTCATTCAACTTAATAGTCTTGTTTCCAGTGCAATATAACTTAATGTGACTATGACTCATTGTTTGGAGAGTTTGTCATCAATCAAATTGAGTATTTCAATGACCATGGTGAAGTCAGTGGTTTTGATTGAAGGAGAGGCATTAAAAGTTGTCCAATCAACTCTGAGTATGTTGCCTGTGATGATAATACAATTCAATAATACAATTTCATTCCAGTTTAGCTAGACTGGAATGAGATTGAATGCACACATGTGGACTATGAACATATATTCTAAAGAAAATACGGAAGTAAGTTCATCTGAATTATTTATTATTGCTTTGAGTGTGCTCCCACAGTAAGAAAAGTAGCAGTAAATCAGAACCTGACATCCATTAAGACCACCGTGGACTATATTGTAGCACCCTGAATGGAAGCTATCTTCTACCGGCCCTGTTGTTCACCAGACTCTTGTCCTTTCCGTGCTAGCTCCAAGACACAACCAAAAGCACAGAATGGCTTGGATTCTCAAGCCGAAGACGCCAATTCAGCAGATGAGAAGAAGACTGGATTCAAGGACTTGATAAAGCAGCTTCGTCCTGCCCAAGACCCTAAAGGCTCATTGGACAGAGACAGTAAGACGAGAGTGTCACACCTCAGAGATCAAACAGAAGTAAGGAAATCTTCATTTTATTAGGCACTATACCCTAATAAAACAAGTCCCATTGTGCTTGTTGAGTTCAGATTGAAGCCCTCTAGTGCTGGGGCTTGATGATACTGTAAGGTTGGTCCATTTGTCTGTCAGTCTCTGTCAGCACTTATGTCTCCAGAGACAGATATTTGTCAACAGCTGACCAGGTGTCCTTGTTTTGTTGGTATACTAATGGTTTTAGTGAAACGCAAACTTTTTCTCCACTGCATGAATTTCTACTTCTATAAAAAACCGTGGCTGCAGTTTCATGATATTTATTGAACTCTCCCCAGAGCATGAGCCCTGTCCATTCAGACAAGCCATGTGCAGTCCTCTTTCCCCCTAAAGGCCCAGTCAAACTAGCATAACACAATCAATTCATTTGAATGGGCTTACAGTGATTAGTGAGTTCCCTCCGGTACATTAGTAGCTAGCTAGCTCATGCCTGTTTCCAGATAACTAGCATGTTTTGCTGTGCTGATGTGATGGGATTACACCAAAATGTTAACCTGTATCTCATGCTCTAATGAGCAGATGATGACATTTCTTCATCACATTCATGCTCTGGGGGGGATGAAATGTTTTGATGTAAGTGACCCCATGACCTTTCCTCTAGCCCCACCCTCAGTACAAACTCCACACACTTCCTCACTGCACACATTTTAAGCCCCAAAACTTTTCGACAGTTTTGTATTGTCATCAACATGACCGCCTCTTGAGGACACTATGGGGGCTTTAAGCTTTGACTCTTGTTTGTTGAGGAACAGCTCAAAGTGACCTATGGCCTCTAGTTGTTTATGGTCATTCAGCAAACCCATTATAATTGTTTAACAGAAAGTACTTTGAGACCTGGTAGATAGAGGAAAAGATCCCTCAGTCTTGAATCATGCCTGACTAAAGAACATACATTACAACTTTTGAACCAATTCTAAATATGACTAGGCATGACAAGCTGTTCCAGTATGGGTCAGTTGGTGTTGACAGGAGATAAAGTGCCTTCTGAGCCAGTCACTGCTTGTCTTCTTCATCAAGATTCTTTTAAACATGTTACCATGACATTTACAACTGGATACATACTTTACACTACAAAAATCTCTATCAATATTGTGTTCATACCTCATGACCTTATATAGTATATCTAATATATGGACTTGCATTTTTATACTTGGAGTATATTTCTCATGTGATGTCAGTGTAATATTGAGCAGAATAACCTGTTTCTACAGGATGGTGTCAAACTCCCCTCCTCTACATCAGAAGAAGATGAATGCGAGAAGAAGCAGAATAAGAAGACGAAGCAAAAGAAGTTAAGAAAAAAGCTCTCCAAGTTCTTCAGGGGAAAGTTAGAGAAACAGGAGAAAGAGGGGCGTGACCCTCAACCTCAGAGACCTTCCACATTGCCAATCGATAAAGATGTAGAGATCCCCCCAGCCCTCATCTCTCCCAGTAAGCTCTTTCATTACAATACACCTGAGCTGGAGTCCATTTATTTGCTGCTAAGTCTGAGTTGAAATGTAAGTGTGGTCTGAATCTACACTATTATAAGGTGCACCTCCAAACCAGTCTGTCTGCCCATGTAGGGAGGATGAAGCTGACTGGCAACATTATAACTCTGTTGACAACTGTCAACATACACACAGCATAGTTATTGGTGTGACTACAGCAGAGTGGTAAGAGTTCACTGTTTAATGTAGAATTATGACTTGTTGCTGTAGACCACCCTCCTGAGTTCTACAATGAAGTAGCAGAGAAACTGGAAAAGATTGCCCAGAGGTCTACCAGTACAAAGAAACTGAGTCCCACAGTCCAGCCTTCACCAGGTAATCAAACACACACACAAACACAATTGAATCCAATTGAAGAAGTGGCTGTGTTGTTCTAGCCAAGTCAAGGAAGTTATAGTTATCATTGCTGAGTCCGGTAAAATTCACACATAAATATCAGTTGAGCCTGTGTTCACTTTCTTCACTGAGACATACGGAAATGAAGGCAAAGGAAATGTGTTTTGCCTTAAAGTCCCACTGAAGGAGAGGTCGGAGCGTCTTCAGCTTCTGCACTGTGACGTATTTCACAGTGAAACAGAATATTTGAGGGGCAGATTCAAATCAAATCCTTTGCATTTGATTGGACTGCTCGGAGTTAGAATTTAGTGTGATACAGAGCTGCAGAGGACTGTTGGCTACACACACACCTTCCTCAGCTGTTGTTAGATCAGGAGGAGGACGAGGGAGAGGAGGAGGATGAGGGAGAGGATGAGGACGAGGGAAAGGATGGGGACGAGGGAGAGGTGGAGGACGAGGGAGAGGTAGAGGACGAGGGAGAGGTGGAGGACGAGGGAGAGGAGGAGGACGAGCAGGAGGACGAGGGAAAGGATGAGGACGAGGGAGAGGTGGAGGACGAGGGAGAGGTGGAGGGAGAGGAGGAGGACGAGGGAGAGGTGGAGGACGAGGGAGAGGAGGAGGAGGAG